TATATTATAAAGTTGATTATCATACAACAAATGACATTATTATCACACGCAAGACAAAAAATGAGCTACCAAAATCTTCAATTAATTGTGTCATTCTTCCACACTCTTAACTGTTGTAATGGAGCCACGAGATCTGAACTTGGACCAACAACCGACATAAGATAGGATGGTGGTGCCACCAATAATTGTATCTTAGAATTTTATTTAATTTTTTCATGCAATAACATTACCAACTTAATTGGTTATGGATTTATCATATAATTCTTTAATGTCAAAGCCAAAAATAATAAATTAAAATTAAAAAAATCAGACTTTACTAGACCATTTTTCTTGTCATGTATAATTCACATCTAAAAAACAAGACTATTATCGTTTCAGATGTCAAAATATATTCTTCTTGCCTAATAAAAACTTACAACATATCCGTAATTCTCAATTTTAGTAGAAAAAAGATTACTTACACGAAATCAAAACATATTGTGAACCGTATGTACGAGTTACATAGATTCTTATAAAATTCTCGTCTCATCCAGTAACCTAATTTTATTGGCACAATCATGTATAGGTTTTTCGTGCAATTATTTTGGTATGTCTAATATTCATTCAATAAAAATTAGGATTATGCTTGTTACGTACTGTCTTAATTTCGATCCAACAAGAAGAGGGAGATTAGTAAAAGTAGTATATTGCAATGTGCATGCAGCCATTACGTATGTAGAAGATAATTCATACAATTTCTGTACCCCATATTGATCAATAATACCCAAAAATACAGTTGTTAGAAATCTAGTCAAATAAAATACAGAAAAGAAAAATTAGGTCCCAACTTCTGATTGATTTTTCAGCTTGCTATGTCACAGTCTTTCGGATACGGCCGACTGAAATACACATTAAATAGTGTTGGCTTGAGCAGTAAATAGACAAGGCAGGCTACCATTATTTTTATAAAAGAAAAAATAAAATAAAATAAGAACTGAATAAGAAGAAGCAGAAGAAGATCAAGAAGAAGAAGAATGATCGATTGATCCATTCCAGATGGTCCACTTCTATATAGTTTATTGTTATTTTGGAGCTGTCATAATCTCAATAGAAAAAACCCAAAAATCTCCATGGGAGCATGTGGATGCATTCTTATACACATGCTTCTTCTTCTTCTTCTTCTTCAAATATCTCTACAAATACATCTCCATTTTATTTTTCTTTTCTTCTACCATTATTTTTCCATCCTAGTAAGATTCTCATTCACATGCATTCGACAATTTTCTCATCAACCCTAGCCCACATTGTCCCTTCTTTTACCACCAAAAACAACAAAATTTGTTGTTGTAAATTCTGTTATTAGTTATGTTTTTTTTTTTTTACTCTTATACTAATATTCTTGTACATGATAATACAAACAGATCTTAATTAATATGATTTCTTTTACATGGTGGAGATAGTATTTGTGTGTTGTTTGTGAACGTACGACATATACAATGTTATCGAATAAATAAGGAAAGAATGCAAATAAATATTCGAGTATGACAATAAGGTTTTAGGCAGATAAATATTTGAGTATGATAATAAGGTAAATATTTACAATGATATTAAATCAAAATAAAAAAAAAAGAAAAAGGAAAAAGGAGTGTATAATGCAAGAAGGTACGTATATACTTCAACAAGTTGATGTATATGCATGATGATAATAAATGGTGTCCGATTGGACCGACAGTTTTAACATGGATCGGCCAGAGAGAATGCTGAAGTTTTCTGGCAAACTTGCAGAACAATATTTAATGGTCCAATTTTATTTTCATGTCTACGTAAGGGCATTTTTACAACATTGAGTATAATGTATTCTTAATTACCTTTTCTTCTCCATAATACTCATTATTTTTTTTATAAAACAATTTACTTTGTTGAACTAAAACAGTATGAATTATTTTTTCTGGAACGGAAAGAATACCATATTAGGTAGTGTATTGATCGACCAAGATTACAACACTAAATATAAAACAATTTACTTTGTTGAACTAAAACAGTATGAATTATTTTTTCTGGAACGGAAAGAATACCATATTAGGTAGTGTATTGATCGACCAAGATTACAACACTAACAAACAAAAACTAAGTTAATGCCCGATTAATGAATATTACTTGAGATCACCAATTCTTTACTACAAGCGTAATTACGTGATCAAAATTACAATAACTTGTTTTGTCTCAATTTCGAAATAAGGTTAAAGTAGAGACTAAGATTGAATCACATTTCACATCTACACTCTACGGTAATTAACATGCATGTTTGCTTGTTCTTAATCGAAACATTTTACATCAATGAAAACTAGGTTTGACAAAAGACCATAAATAAATGAAGAAAATGACAATATCACTCAGATTTACATCCTTGAGTACATTTTGCAATTAAGGCAAAGTAAATGAAAAAGGTGCATGTCACCTTGTAGGATGCCATTTATAAGAAAACCTTTAAGAAGACTAAAAGAATAAATTTAAAACTTGTAAAAACATGTAGGATAGGCTATTTCTTTCACCAAATTGATCAAACAATTTCTCCACATTTGCTGAATATGGTAACAAATGAACTAAATTTGGTTCATCTGAAAACTGAAATTGGTGTATATGGGTTCTTAATTTATACTCTCTATTAATGTCGCATTCAAATCTATTACACAGACTTTAAAAAAGTGAGTAAAAATCTAAAATAGGGTCACTTTTACTCCATTCTTTAGAACAGTGACAATTTTGTTTAGTCTATTTGGTGGATATTTCACAAAAAAACAGACGTGACAATTGGTTCGTAATAAGTTTCGTAATCGTATAAATACGACTTTTTTGTGATAGAGGCTTTAATTGTCTCATATGTCTTTCCCCCTTTCATCGTCAATTTTATACTTTCTGTAAATTTTAACTACATTAGTTTTTTTTTTTGGGCCTTACTACAATTTATTTTTTTTGTTATTCCTTATTCATGTTATATTGATATTGTAGACATTGTGAAGAAAGAATTGGTGCAACAACTGTAAAAATGGTGAACGAATTTCATCTTGAGTACGTATAGATGGCTTAAATTTTTATAGTTAATTTTCTTATTCATTTAGATACTTACCTATTAGTAAATTGAAGAAACTAATGAAAAAAAAAGGTTGGGTGTCAATTCGAGTTATCGGGTCAATTTCGTGTTATTTATTTCACAGGGTTCGTAAAATTTTTTGAAGCGAAAATATAATAAAAACTCAAATCGTGTCAATCGTATCGTATCGTGTCAGGTTGTCTCTGTAAATCGTGTTGTCGTATCGGAAATTGACGCCCGCTTGGCATCTTGCGATTCGGGGGAAAAAAAAGGTAAAACAAAACTCATTGTACTGCATTCATTTTTATCGTTCTCTGGTGAAAATTTAAAAATTTGAAAATGCACTAGCTACTAACCATTTTTCTTAGAGTAAGTATGGAATTTATGGAGGAAATTGAAAATTTAATGTTAATAAGAGTGCTGAGCAACAAACATGTGACAATGTGATGATTCACACTAGCTAGTATATTTACGAAATCTTGGGATGAAATTGCTCTATTTATGATGGAGGTAGTTTTCCTCAATGAACTACTTAAATGTGTTGTATAATTTGTGGTTAGAAATTGCCTCATTTAAGATGCCATATTGGGGTTGAATATTGCATGTTGGGCTATGTTATTGATTAAAGATACAGATAGAATCATTTTTAAACTTTTTTTTAAAATTAAGGATCAGGATAAGGGTAACGCCTGACGTATATATAAATACTTTAATCATTTTTGAAATTCGATTCATCAAATCGTAAATAGTTACTATTATTTTGCACAAAAAAAAAATACTAATAAAATAAAAAAATCCTAGTTCCACTATAAATGATGCAAGAGTAATTTTGAACATTGTTATCAAATTTATTTATTCTAAATCTATATTATTATATACTCCACCTGTCTAAAAAAAATAGTCCACTTTATTGTATTATTTAATTTAATAAAGCCGATTTTTCTTTTTAGGATGGAAGAATACATCCTTAGAGTTGAATTATTTTAACTTAACCCAAAAAAATAAAAATTTGTTTAGTTGATAGGTTTGTACAATCATTCATCCAAATTTGGTAATTACACATCAGTTTATTCTTATATTACAAACACTTCCTACAGAAACTATAAGGAAATAAAACTATTTTTTTTTTATCAAATCCAATTATCCAAACATCAACTCTTTAAGAAGAGCTGCGTTATGTTACTTATAGCTAACCATTTTTACATCATAAAACATTGATTTTTATGGTGAAAAGAAACTAAAAATCGTAATGTTTTAGATCATTGACAACTCATTCCTTGCAAGGTTTCCTTGTATACGTATCATTGCTCATACTGAAAGGATACTGATTTGTATAGGAAAAAAATGACAAGAAAAAATAACAGGAATTAATTATAATCATTCACTTTTAACACTTTTCATTTGGGATTTAAACATTTAAAGTTAAGACATAATTTAGATCATTGATAATTCATTTCTTGTAAGTTTTCCTCGTAAATTTTTCTTATACGTATCATTACTCATACTAAAATTAGCAGGAAAATGTCATTCATCATTCTCATTCCTGTATAGTAACCTTAAAACGGTAAAATAAAAAAACCAAAATGATTTCATTCGTTCGAATCACAAATGGTGGAAAGGTAAGTTAAATGGAAATATAATTATTGACTAATTACTTCACCAAAAACAACATTGGAAACGTTTTTTTTTTTTCAAATAAATGTAAAAAGAGAAAGATTAGCAAACAAAAGTCCAAATATTTTAAACAAATACAACAATTATTTTGGGACGGAGGGAAATAAACTTTTCTAAAAAAACATTTACTGTTGAAATGATCAAACAATACAAAGACTAATCACCAAGTAAGAAATTGACTAATATGCCCTTTCCCCTCTGTCAAAGAGCCACCGCATCCAGCCACACTGGGGCCCATCATCTTCCCCCACCGGCTTCCACCACCATCACCACCCACCTTCTACAATGGATCCCACCTTTTTTATTAAAACCCCAAAAAAGAAAAAGAACCTTTCTTTTTTCATATTTATTCATTTTTCTCTCAAATCATAATTGAAAAATCAGTAAAAAATGGAGAAAATAAAAATTACGGAAGTTAATTCGTCATCACACCGATCTCTGTCTCTTCTGTACTACGCATTGAACTTTCAACCCCACCAAACCTTCTCATCCTCCCCGCCTCATTTACTCTTTTTATCATTATCACTGTGAAAACAATATATATGTATATAAATATGTACTGATATTGTTTAAACAATCAAAAAGTCTCTCAATAGTCAGTGTTTTCTTTTCTTTTTGTGTCTAAATCTCTCTTATTCAACGCCACTGGCAGTCATTTGAGGTTTTATTGATCCAACCAAAATATATAATAAAAAGGGTCTGTGAGAGAGTGGGAGAGAGACCCAAATTTATCCCAAACTTGGGTTTCTCTCGAAAGAAAAGAATCTCAGCTCAAAAGGGTCAGCTTTGAAGAAACACAAAAAAAAAAAGTTTTGATTTTTTTATTGGTTCGGTTATAAATTTTTTGTGTAAATGAATAGTGGGGAGTTTTTATAATTGAAGAGTTAAATCCCCCTTTGACATTATTACTGTTGTGTGTGTGTGTGTATATGTGTTGTTGTTAGTGTATCATTTTCAGTCATTCTTTAATGTGGGGTTGGCGTTTCTTGTGATGGGTTCTTAAGAGAGTGGCCTAAAAGAATAACAAGAAGGAAAAAAATAAAGAGGCAATGGTTCCTTGAGAGCTTGATTGTCTCTGTGTCTCTCTGTATATTTCTGTCTGTCTGTGTTTTTTAGTGAGGGAGAAAGAGGGAAGAGGCCACAGTGTCTTTCTGTTTTTTCCATTGTGAAGGTGTTTTAAGGAGGGGCACTCACTGCAGAGTGAGTGCGTTTAATTTTTTGTTTTTGGATGGCTACCAAAGGGAGGCTTGTTGCTGGTTCACATAACCGAAATGAGTTTGTAGTAATCAATGCAGATGAAATTGGAAGAGTAAGTGCCTTCAAAATCTCTTCTTTCTTGCTTTTTCTTACCTCACTTAGCAGCCACCGACACAAATTTTTATCATAATTTGGTGTTTCTGACTGCATTTTTTTGGTTTTGGGAGATTCTCAGTGATTCTTTTTTCTGTAATTTACTTCAAAGATTGAGATTTCGAAGCAAAATTGCTTTCTTGTCGGTTTGCTGCGGTGTGTTGGTGTCATCTTGAGCTATGGAGCTCAGATTTCCTCTGTTTTTTTTTTCATTTTAATTAACCTTTGGGTTATTAATTTTCCTGCCTCTTAAAGACCCTGTTTCCAGCTCCGGCAAGATCATGTAGTGGTAGTAGATTTTAGTTCTCTCTTAATTGCTCCTGCAATTTTAGTAACCAGGCATTGAAATATTCACTTCTGTTGCTGTATTTGTTCGAATTGTCACTGTAACGAGCAAATAAGATTATTTTCTGTACTATGTTAGTTTTGACCAGAATTTAAACTGCTTGATCTGATGATAACTGGATTGTCCTGTATTTTTCTTGCTTGCAGGTCACCTCCGTGAAGGAATTGAGTGGGCAGATTTGTCAGATTTGTGGGGATGAGGTTGAATTTACTGTAGACGGAGAGCCATTTGTGGCCTGCAACGAATGTGCTTTCCCTGTTTGTAGACCTTGTTATGAATATGAGAGAAGAGAGGGAAATCAAGCCTGTCCTCAATGCAAAACCCGATACAAACGCATAAAAGGTAATGCCTTATCTCACTATTACTATCTTGACTTTGTCAATGATCTGCAATTCCCTTTTTGTGGTAGGGAGTTTATGTAATTTTAATTGATTGTTGTACATCTCAACTGCAGGGAGTCCAAGAGTGGAAGGTGATGAAGATGAGGATGAATTTGATGATTTGGAGCATGAGTTTGATTATGACCCACACCAGATTGCAGAGGCAGCGCTTGCTGCTCGTCTTAATACCGGCCGTGGTGGTCATGTTAATGCGTCTGGTATCACTACACCGTCAGAGATGGATTCAGCTCTTGGCTCCGAGATTCCCCTCCTCACCTATGGTCAAGAGGTACATTGTCTCCACAATTTGACCTTGCTCTGTTCAATTGTATTTTTCCATTCATTTTGTTAAATTTCAAAATTCTGACCGATTTAGTGTTTGTTTATGAAGGACGATGGGATTTCAGCCGATAAGCATGCTCTAATTATTCCTCCTTTCATGGGCCGTGGAAAGAAAGTTCATCCTGTGCCATTTACTGATAGTTCCATGTCCTGTATGTTTCTGTGTGTTTTTTTTTGGTTAGAATTTTTTAAATTATGCTTAATATTTCCTTGCTTGATGTAATTCTGGTGTTTGATCTTGAAGTGCCACCTCGTCCAATGGACCCTAAAAAGGATCTGGCAGTTTATGGATATGGTACTGTCGCATGGAAAGATAGAATGGAAGAATGGAAGAGAAAGCAGAATGAGAAACTTCAAGTGGTTAAACATCAAGGTGAAAAAGGTGGTGGCAATGGTGGCGATGAGCTGGATGATCCTGACCTGCCAATGTAGGTTGATTAAGCTTTTTCTGTTTTCCTTGCGTAATATTGTCGGTGATTTGACTTTCGGTTCCATGTTTATCTGCTTTTAATTTTCGGATGATTTGTCTTGCATTTTCTGTATTTATTATATTATTAATGACTGTGCCAGGTGTCATTTTTTAATCAATATTCACCGATTCGGACACATTATGGTTGTTATAGCTTCTTTCAGATTTTATGTGAACTGCAGTCAGGCTGATATTCTTCATGCTTCGATGGAGCTAGCCGTATTAGTCTCTGACTTAGTTTAATACACATTGCCATGAGTGTCGTACTGAGAATCTACATTCTTGCAAAGTCAACAGGCTCCAATTTGTTTGTTTGCTGATAGGATAAATTAGGTACTTGCCACATATAAATGCATGAATTGCAGTTCTGCGTTGCCAGCAAATGGCAAGGGAAACTCTATATTTCAGGCAGAGAGAACAGACAATTTGGTAATGCGGTGTGGCCCCTCGTGTATCTTTGACATTCAGCTAATATAGTGTCCAAGAATAAAAGAATTTACAGTTATTGTCAATGTGATTTATGAATTGAGGGGAAACAAGTTGAGTCGATTCCTGTGCGACAAAGTATGGTACATTTGATGGCAGGTAAAAAGAGTAATAAATTCACAGCAATGCCGGCTGATAACACTTGGCTTAGGTAGCATGTTACTTTCACACTGTAATTGTTGTCCTCACTTAATATTTCACTGTTGAGATTGAAAATGCAGTTTAAATTATGGTGGCCTAATATGGCCAAAATTCGCTTCCAATCCAACGTGTTACCTCTGTGGTGCTAAGACCAAGTGATTGGTTAAAATGCTGTGTAGGGAAGGATCCATATCGTATATTATTCGCAGTACAGATCCTCGAACAGAGTTTGCTAACTTTTTGGTACTGTGTCGTTGGCTTGTCTGGATGGAGAAAAATATCTTTAGGGAATATGAGGACACTTGGTTTTAAGCTTCTAGTAGGACCTGTATGGTTTTCATTCTCTGAGTTGCATGTATTTCAATGATTGACTAGTGGTATTTGTGACATCCTAAGGGCCTGACAACTTCTTGTAGTGTCACACCTCCCTTCAGAATTATTTACCATCTGGATATTGGTTAGGTGGAATTTAGACATGCTTATTGGCTGAGTGAAATGTTATTTTCATGACTGCTGGAAGATATTTAGTGGTCAGTGCCTTTTTCATGAACATTCTAAACTCCCATAACCTAAGCCAACAGAATTGTTTTGATGTTTTGGTTTGTAGTCTGTGTGGTTAATAAACAATGATTCTCTATATTGAAATTTATCCCTCAAGATCTAGATTCTCCTAAAGTTTTTCAACTCATTTTCTTTTCTCTTAATCTTGTGACAGGATGGACGAAGGCAGACAGCCCCTTTCTAGAAAGTTACCCATCCCATCAAGCAAGATCAGTCCTTACAGAATGATCATTCTAATTCGAATGGCTGTTCTTGGCTTATTTTTCCATTATAGAATCCGTCATCCTGTGAATGATGCATATGGATTGTGGCTAACTTCAATCATTTGTGAAATATGGTTTGCTGTATCATGGATCTTTGATCAATTTCCAAAGTGGTTTCCTATTGAGCGAGAGACATACCTTGATAGATTATCACTGAGGTACTTATTCTTTCTCCCCCTTTTTGGGCTATCTCTTGGACAGATTCTTATAAACTATATGGCACATCTATTTTGCTATCTATTTCTGTAGTAATCTTCCCTTTTACATGCTTCTCAAAGTTTTTTTATATGGAAATTTCCTTCCAGGTACGAAAAGGAAGGGAAGCCCTCTGAGTTAGCTGCCGTTGATGTATTTGTCAGTACAGTGGATCCGTTGAAAGAGCCTCCACTTATCACTGCAAATACAGTTCTCTCTATTCTGGCTGTGGATTACCCAGTGGACAAAGTTTCCTGTTATGTATCTGATGATGGTGCTGCTATGCTTACTTTTGAGGCTCTTTCTGAGACATCTGAGTTTGCAAGAAAATGGGTTCCCTTCTGCAAGAAGTTCTGCATAGAGCCTCGAGCTCCAGAATGGTACTTCGCTCAGAAGGTTGATTATCTTAGGAATAAAGTTGATCCTACATTTGTGAGGGAACGCCGTGCAATGAAGGTACATTTTCACGTCTGCCATTAAATTTTTGTTTCTTCAAACCCCCCTCTCCAAGTTTTAAACATCAGTTTGATGTCATAATATGGGTGGAAGGATTGGAATTGACGAACGTAATTTCTTTATCCCCTGCTAGCCTTTTTTGTTTAACTGTCCTTGAACTGAATGGTGTGTCCATTTTATGGTGCAGAGAGAGTATGAGGAGTTCAAAGTCAGGATAAACGGGCTTGTTGCCACGGCTCAAAAGGTTCCTGAGGATGGTTGGACCATGCAAGATGGAACTCCTTGGCCTGGAAATCTAGTTAGGGATCATCCTGGAATGATTCAGGTGTGAATAATTTTTCATTTGACTCTCCTCTGAAGTTGAATCTTCTTGTGAAGACTTCTTTTATGCAAATGTATGTAATTCAACCGTTTTGCAGGTATTCCTGGGTAGTAATGGTGTTCATGACATTGAAGGAAATGAGTTGCCCCGTCTAATTTATGTTTCTCGTGAGAAAAGGCCAGGATTTGAGCACCACAAGAAAGCTGGAGCCATGAATGCTTTGGTGAGTTAGTTTTACTAATATGCTTGGTACCATGTGCTAAATGTAGTTACATGCATCTTAACCACCTATTATCTGATTGTTTGTTCTATTTGCTGAAACTGTCGTGCAGATTCGGGTTTCAGCAGTAATCTCAAATGCCCCTTACCTACTGAATGTTGATTGTGATCATTACATCAATAACAGCAAAGCACTTCGAGAAGCTATGTGCTTCATGATGGACCCCACATCAGGGAAGAAAATATGTTATGTGCAGTTTCCTCAGAGATTTGATGGGATCGATCGTCATGATCGATACTCAAATCGCAATGTTGTCTTCTTTGATGTACGTAAAGCACCTTATGTTGATTACCTTAGATAAATCTGGAGTTTTGACCTTATACATACTCTTCTGAGAAGCTGAATTTAATCTTGCTGATGACAGATAAATATGAAAGGGCTTGATGGGATTCAGGGTCCAATTTATGTTGGAACGGGTTGTGTCTTCAGGAGGCAAGCACTTTATGGATATGATGCTCCAAAAAAGAAGAAAGCCCCAGGCAAAACTTGCAATTGTTTGCCAAAGTGGTGTTGCTGTTGTTGCCGATCTAGGAACAAGAACAAGAAGGGGAAATCAAAGGATAAGAAGAAGACAAAAGGCAGGGAAACATCAACTCAAATACATGCTCTTGAAAATATTGAAGAAGGAATTGAAGGTAAGAAAATTGGCATCAAGGAGTCATTGATATCTATTACTTAATCTACTGTTGGCCTCAACATGAATTGATCCCTGAAAAATCTGAACATATTTGAGATGTATTAGTGCCGTCTGCCTGTCTTCACTTCCTTTTTGTTGTTTTTCTTCTATTATACTGACTGGAACCTTCTTTTTTTTTCAGGAATTGATAATGAAAAGTCATCCCTCATGCCTCAGATTAAGTTCGAGAAAAAGTTTGGACAATCTCCGGTATTTATTGCCTCTACACTTCTTGAAGATGGTGGTGTTCCTCCAGGGGCATCGCCCTCAGCTCTCTTAAAAGAAGCCATCCATGTGATCAGCTGTGGTTATGAAGACAAAACAGAGTGGGGCAGAGAGGTACTTAGCTTTATTCTTATTTCATTTTCAAATCTTCTCTAAATTTTGTAGAGCTAGACTGCAATATGAACCTGATTGAGTTACGTGTACCAGGTTGGTTGGATTTATGGATCTGTTACTGAGGACATCTTGACTGGGTTCAAGATGCATTGCCATGGCTGGCGGTCAGTGTACTGCATCCCTAAAAGGCCTGCATTCAAGGGTTCTGCTCCTATCAATTTGTCAGATCGTTTGCACCAAGTTCTTCGATGGGCCTTAGGTTCTGTTGAAATTATGTTGAGCAAACATTGTCCAATTTGGTATGGGTATGGTTGCGGATTGAAGCCCCTGGAGCGGTTCTCATACATAAACTCAGTTGTCTATCCGTTGACATCCATTCCCCTGATTGCTTATTGTACCTTGCCAGCTGTTTGTCTGCTAACTGGGAAGTTCATCGTCCCAGAGGTAATGTTACAAGATTTTCCTCTTGAAAGTGAAAAGCTGTTACTGTTTTAGTCTGTTGCATGTAAGTATCTCTGCTAACAAAGTTCATTTCTTTCTCTACAGATTAGCAACTATGCAAGTATTATATTCATGGGTATGTTTATATTAATTGCTGCAACTAGTATCTTAGAAATGCAGTGGGGAGGTGTTGGCATCGATGACTGGTGGAGAAATGAGCAGTTCTGGGTTATTGGTGGTGTTTCTTCACATCTTTTTGCTCTTTTCCAAGGTCTACTCAAGGTGTTGGCTGGTGTTGACACAAACTTTACTGTTACATCGAAAGCAGCTGATGATGGAGAGTTTTCCGAGCTCTATCTATTTAAGTGGACATCACTGTTGATCCCCCCATTGACCTTGTTAATAATTAACATCATAGGGGTCGCTGTTGGGGTGTCGGATGCGATCAATAATGGGTATGAATCATGGGGTCCACTCTTTGGCAAGCTATTCTTTGCCTTCTGGGTGATTATCCACTTGTACCCATTCCTCAAAGGTTTGATGGGAAAGCAGAATGGAGTTCCAACGATTATTGTCGTCTGGTCCATACTGCTAGCTTCAATCTTCTCTCTTTTGTGGGTCAGAATCAACCCCTTCCTGGACAAGGGTGGTCTTGTATTAGAAGTTTGTGGATTGGATTGTGAGTAAGATGATATGCATAAAGAGATAGGAAACTTGTAGATGGTTGAGAGACAGAAGAAAAGGACCCATTCATGGGACGAAGAAGAAGTATATCCCAGTACACAAAATGTGTTCATTCATGGATAATCACCAAATGGCATAATTGAGTGGGGAAGAACCCCATTCATGGATTGTTGTGTAGATAAAACAGATGAGCTTTAGATACAATTGATATTTGTTTGCAAAGTTATCATTGATTCTTTTAAAGAAGTTTTGGGATTTGTTTGGGAGGAAAAACAAAGAGGTGGATGAAAAAATCCTTGTAATCCCAAAAGAACATAAATGTCTCATAATTTATATTCCCTTCTTACAAGGGACTCCATACAAGAAACTGTTCTTAAACCCTTTTTTGTTTAAACTTGTGTAACATTTCTCTTTTTCTCCTTCAATTCTCCAGTTTAATTTACTCTAGTTTTCTTCTGTTCTTGGATGACCTTTTATTGATATTTGATAACTCATGATCCCTGTGTTTAACTTCAAAAAGATTTAAAACAATACCTCAATTTTGAGCATTTTTTTTTCCCCTTTCTTTTTTACTGAATATTACTAATTCGTTAACTAAAATGAAATGATAAGAACATAATTTAGGCTCACTTAGCTGGTGGACAATGACCTAGAGACACAAAAAAAAAAGCATCACAGTAGTGCAATTTTCCAAAATCGCCTTGCCCACTTGTATGTTTCCATGTTTCTCCTAGGTTTTGAACGAAAATCTAACCGGTTGCTATTGTTACTCATATGCTTCAAATTTAGAACACATTCCAAGCAATTCCTCAAATTGCACAACAAATCACAATGTCACAACACTTCACTGAACAGCCTGAAAATTCTGGTCAGTTTCTAATGCCATTGGCAAATTCCGTTCACAAAACAAAAACTATATGACAGTTTCTACTTGCATGAGTTATGCTTTCATTACTAGGATCAGTCACATCACAAAAGTACTGCTTAGTCCTATTTCCAGGGGGAGATGTGCTTCAAAGGAGGTCTCTTTGCTCCTGGTCTCATTGTTGTCAAACTACCAACCTTTCCTAACTTGGAGCTAGTTGCATTTTCCTTCATGTCAGCCCCCAATTGCAGCTTTTTAGGTGTTGCATGTATCAGAATGGTTCTGGCATCCTTCTTTTTTATAGTAGATTTGGCTGCTGTACTAATGTTCTCAGACTTTCCAGCAACAGCAGCTGAGTTTCCAGTTCGAATGGAGTTCGCCTTCATGTTTGAAACAGAATTGCTTTCAAGATCTGCCGCAACAAAGAAACAACAAGCGTCAAAGGTTGATATATTCTGTCAAAATCAGGATCACATCAAAACAATGCTTACCTCTACTTGAATTTGTGGGACGCTGATGAGCTACTCCGGAAACTGATTTGTGATCACGTTTTACCAAATTTGTGGCTTTGCCTTCATCAGCTTCTGTATGTGATGCACTCTTTACAGCAACAACAGCCTCTTGAACATTTGATGCCAGTGATTGAGCCAATGGAACAAATCCTTTGACCTCTGTCAATAAATTTCCCTGCAAACTGCTGTCAGGGTTTTGAGACATCATTGATGGAATTTCCCCATATTCTGAACCTGCAACCTCACTTTCTTGGAAAACTAAGGGATGCTTGGTGACTGAAGATTCTGAAGCCACACATCCCCAAATGTCTGAGGCCATCGGTTCTGCGTTGCTACAAGTCAACTTGATTGGCGTTTCAAACAACATAGAAAGGGAAGTTCCTTTTTCCTGTCCAGCAAGTTTAATATCATCAAACAGGAAACTGTCACCTCCTTTGCTTTCTCCTGGAGGTATTTCAATCTCTAAACTAATTTCAGCTACATCAACTGATTTTCCAATTAGTAAGGAGTTTGTCTTCGCATCTGAAACCAAATCGCATTCAAGGTCTGCTGCAAGAAACAAAAACAGTCATCAAGGGTTGATTAATTATGTCAAAATCAGGATTACCATCATCACAGCAAAATAAGCTTACCATTATGTACAATTCCGGAATGCTGGTGAGCTGCTCCTGAAACCGATTTGGTGTAAGATTTTACCAAATTTGTTGCTTTGCCCAGATCAACTTTTTTATCTGATGCATACTTGTCTTTTCCAGCAGCAACAGGATCTTCAACATCGGATGCATTTGATTGAACCGATGGACCATATCCTTTGTCCTCTCTCAATAAATTGCCCAGCGAAGTGCTGTCAGGATTTTCAAACATCATTGATAGAATTTCCCCATATTCAGAACTTGCAACCTCTCTTTCATGGAAAACTAAGGGATTGGTGACTGAAGATTCTGAAGCGGCATGTTCGGCAATGTCTGAGTTCATCAGTTCGGCCTTAGTTGAAATCAACTTGATTGGTGTTTCAAATAGCATAGCAAGGGAAGTTCCTTTTTCCTCTCCAGCAAGTTCAAAATCATCAAATGGGAAACTGTCACCTCCATTACTTTCTCCTGGAGGTATTTCAATCTCTAAACTAATGTTCTCTGTCTTTCCAGCAACTGCAACTGATTTTCCACTCTGAATGGAATCTGTCTTCGCATCTGAAACCAAATTGTGTATAGGGTCTGCTGCAAAAAACAACAAACAGTCATCAAGGGTTGATGAATTATGTCAAAATTAGGATAACCATAATCACATAAAAGTAATGCTAACCTCCATCTGCATTTGTTGGACACTGATGAGCTGCTCCTGAAACTGATTTGGTGTCCAATTTTACAAAATTTGTTGCTTTGCCTTGATTGACTTCTTCATCTGATGCAGTGTTGTCTTTTCCAGCAGCAACAGGGACTTCAACATTTGATGCGTCTGATTGAATTAAAGGAACAAATGCTTCAACCTCTGTTGATGAATTCCCCTGGAAAGTGCTTTGGGGGGTTTCACGCATGATTGATGAAATTTCCCAATATTCAAAACCTGCAACCTCACTTCCTTGGAAAACTAAGGGATGCTTAGTGACTGAAGATTTTGAAGTGGCATGTTTACCAATGTCGGAGTTCATCAGTTCGGACTTAGTCGAAGTCAACGTGTTTGGTGTTCCAAATAACAGAGCAAGGGAAGTTCCTTTCTCCTCTCCAGTGAGTTTAAAATCATCAAATGGGAAACTGTCACCTCCTTTACTTCCTCCTGGAGGTATTTTAATCTCTAAACTAATGTTCTCGGTCTTTCCAGCAACATCAACTGATTTTCCACTTCGAATGGAATCTGTCTTCATATCTGAAACCAAATTGTGTACAAGGTCTGCAGCAAAAACAAAACAAGAAAGCCAGTCATCAAAGGGTTGCTTAATTCTGTAAAAATTAGGATAACCATAATCACACTAAATATTGCTAACCTCTATCTGCACTTGTTGGACACTGATGAGCTGCTCCTGAAACTGATTCGGTGACAAATTCTGTGAAATTTGTTGCTTTGCCTTGATCTGCTTCTTTATCTGATGCACTGTTGTCTTTTCTAGCAGCAACTGGCAATTCAACATATGATGCTTCTGATTGAACTAAAGGAATAAATCCATCAAACTCTGTCGAATTGCTCTGGAAAGTGCTGTGGTGGGTTTCGGACATGATTGATGGAATTTTCCAATATTCAGAACCTGCAACATTACTTCCTTGGAAAACTAATGAATGCTTAGTGACTGAAGATTCTGAAGCAGCAAGTTCGCCAATGTCGAAGTTCATCAGTTCGGCCTTACTCGAGGTCAACTTAATTGGCGTTTCAAACAACAGAGCAAGGGAAGTTCCTTTTTCCTCTCCAGCAAGTTTAAAATCATCAAATGGGAAACTGTCACCTCCTGTACTTTCTCCTGGAGGTATTGTAACCTCTAAATTAATGTTTTCGGTCTTTCCAGCAGCAGCAACTGATTTTCCACTTTGAATGGAATCTGTCTTCACATCTGAAACTAAACTGCATACAAAGTCTGCTGCAAAAAACAAAAAACAGTCATCAAAGGTTTGATTAATTCTGTCAAAATTAGGATAATCATAATCACACAAAAACAATGCCAACCCTTGTCTGCATTTGTTGGATGATGATGAGCTGCTCCTGAAACTGATTTGGTCTCCAATTTTACAAAATTTGTTGCTTTGCCTGGATTGACTCCTTTATCTGATGCAGTATTGTCTTTTCCAGCAGCAACAGACACTTTAACATTTGATGCGTCTGATTGAATCAAGGGAGCAAATCCTTCAACCGCTGTCGATGAATTGCCCTGGAAAGTGCTATTGGGGGTTTCAGACATGATTGATCGAACTTTACAATATCCAGAACCTGCAACCTCACTTCCTTGGAAAACTAATGGATGCTTAGTGACTGAAGATTCTGAAGTGGCATGTTCACCAATGTCCGAGTTCCTAAGTTCGGCCTTAGTTGAAGTCAACTTGATTGGTGTCTCAAATAACATAGCAAGGGAAGTTCCTTTTTCCTCTCCAGCAAGTTTAATATCGTCAAATGGGATACTACGGCCTCCTTTGATATCTCCTAAAGGTATTTTAATCTCCAAACTAGAGATAAGCACTTCGTTACCAGATTCGGCAAGCTCGTCATCTTTTGATGTTTCTGAGAATAAAAGCCACATCAATCTTCAGATACCATGCAATATCAATAAAGTCATACTAGTGAAACTGATTCTGGAAAGCATTCACAAAGATAACCGGGTAAGAAGTTCTAATACTTTATGAAATGACTTTAAGGAACACCACACATCCAAAAGAAAGAAAGAAAGACAGAAAAAACATTTCCATGGAGGTTATAATTTTTTGCAAAGATTACCTTCCCCTCCTACATCAACAGTACCTTGTAATGATAAATCACTGATCTTCTGCTCATCGAGCTGTAGAAGCTCACTCTCAGATCCCTTTGAAATCAAATCTCCTCTATCTTCAGCTGTAGCAACATGGGAGACAGAATTACAGAGAGCACCAGAGCCATGAACTTGAACAGAATCACTCTCAAAACTTGTGATGGGGATACCAAACAGATTGTTGGGTTCATGTGCTGTAAGAGAAGCAACACAAGAATAAGCATACAACGAAATGAAAAATATAAATTGGCTACACGTCACAAAAGTCATAAAGAAACTTACCATTTAGCTCCTTAACAGCATTAGTGGAACAGATCTCCTGAGCAACGGCCTTCTTTCCATCGTCATCACCGTCTACAGATAATTTATGGCCTGAAGCATATTTTTCTTCAGAAATAAATTTAAATAAATAAAAGCAAAGCCAGAATCTTCTTTATGGTCTAATCAGGAAGGGATAAGTTAATAAGATGCAACAAAACTGACACTAGCCAAACAGTTACATATACATAGTAACTTAAGGTATATATAACAAAGACATGAAGCCTCAGCTCAGCTGAAACCAAGGATAACTCCAAAGGTTGAGACTGCATTAAAGTCTCCAGGTATAAAACTGGGTTTACATCATGCCATTGAACATAAATTCAAGTCCTGATGATTCCTAGAAGAAAATAACATAAGAAAAGGAAACAATAATTTTGAGATTCACCTTCAGTAAAGTCGATAAGATCGTTAGGTCTCTGAAGTTCATTGGAATCCCCTTTCTCCGTGTTAATGGGATTCTCATGTCCATTGTTTGCTTCAGGAATTTCTACAGACGCTGCTGCTTCACAACCAGATGTTTCTTTGCCCCTAACTTTTGTCATCAGTTCTGGCTGATCAACTAATTCCAGTGCATTCCAATGTTTTACACTTGGTATAATGCATTCTTCTATTTCAGCATCATCACCGCCAGGAGTTTCATTGACTTCACTACAAAGATTTTCCTCTCTTGCATTGACTTCACCGGGAACCCCATATCCTGAATGGGATGGGAAAAATATGTTGATTTAGTTTCTGATAGTTTTTAAGATGTTTGTTTTTCTTCACTCATTTGTCACATAAATGCCAGATTGACATTCAGGCTGAACACGTACATGATGCATTTTATTTCTGAAATTACACTAGGCTAGTTAGCTCACTGTCAGTCAGTATTGGCTCTTACGGCTGCAACAAAGTTTTCTAATGGAAATAACAAAGCAAAATACTGCATTCCGAGAATAGATTAGCTATCAGAGAAAATTAAACCAAGCAAACAATAATTGCTTACCCAGATGATTCAAGGGACTGGACTTTTGAGGACTGTTGCTCCCTGTGCAGGACTTTTCGAAACCTTGCTCAAATTCAGTACTTTCCCAACCGACAACTATCTGGGTGCCTTGTACAGGACTGTTGCTCTCTACATCACATACCGCGATTCCATCTCCATCACCAGGGAGATCTTGCTCCTTAAAGCTAGAATTAGTTCGCGCAGCATCATTTGTCTTGTTATACAGCAAGCCAGGTGTCTTGGAATTACCATCACCAGGATCAATGTTATCCAGCATAGCGTTGATAGTTCCTACAGGAGAATTCAACTCTCGAGGTTCAAATGAACAATCCAGTCCAACATCTTCATGTTTACAAGAATCTGCGGCATGTCCATCTTGACATACTTCAGGCTCCACCCCTTTGCTCTGCTGATTTATTGATTGAGTAGTCATCTCTAAATGTACAACAAAATCCTCAGCTTCAACTGTTTCACCATCTGCTCCATGACATTCAAGCTTAACATTTCTACTTTGTACAGTTGCTTCCCCTTCAAAATCAAGATCAGACCCAACAACTATACTCTTTCCAGTAGATGATTCTGAATTGCCCATAGCTTTGAGAACTTCCCCTGCAATATCAACCTTACCCTCAACATCTCTTCTCTGTTCAGTTGGTATTTGTCTTCTTGTCTCTGAATGTGTCTCCAAGTCCACATATTTAAGCTCTTCCCATGCAATATCAAATTCAGGCTCACTACCTCCACTCTCCTTGGTTGCTAATGGACTCATTTCAATAGGGGTCTTCAACTCCATTGCTTTGGGTGCTTCCCCGGTAACTTTCTTGAATTCAGGCCCAACTTTACTCTGCTCTGCTGGTGACTGTGTACACATCTCTAAATGAGTTTCCAAATCCGTAACTTTGATTGCTTCTCTTCCAAGAGAACAGTCAGACTCAACACACTGCCTGGATCGTAATTCTGTACAGAACTCGGGTGTCTCCAATCCTTTGAGTGCTTCCCCTACTATTTTATCACAGTCAGTCTCAACGCATCCACTCTGCTCAGTAGGTGATTTCGTACTCATCTTTATGTCTGTCTCCAAGTCAACAGTTCTAAATGCTTCCCCAGCCATATCAAACTTTGGTTCATGACAGCTACTCAGCTGAGTTGGTTTCAACTCCACATCTATTAATGCTTCCACTGCAACATTCTTGTATTCAGGCACAACATCTCTATTCAGTTCAACTGGTGTTGGTGCACACATCTCTGAAGGTGTTCCCTCCTTAGATCTGAGTTCTTCCCTGTCTGCTTTATCACATTTGGTCTCAACAAATCCACTCTGATCGGTCTCAACACATCCACTCATCTCTAAATGTCTCTCCAAGTCCGTAGCCTTGGGAGCTTCCTCAGCAACTTTATCAAAGCCAGGTTTCACATCTCTACTCTTTTCAGTTGGTAATCGTCTACTCCTTTCAAAATGCAACTCCAAATCCATAGCCCCTGCAACTTTATCGAATGAGAAATGTAACCACCAGAATCTTCTACAATAATCTAACAGAATGCACTTGACAAGATAGTTTCTGTAAGTATGACCAGGAAGAAGTTATAATAAAAACACGTACCATTAAGTGGGAAGGTGCATAAGGATTTAGGAGACACCACAATTGTGCTTCCACTAAACTCAGTTGTCCTTTCAACAGCTTTGGCTGATGGCTGCAATACCACCGCTGGCATATCGCATGGATTAACAATATCTTCGACGGAGTTAGAGCATCCATCCAGCAGAGTTCTTGAGGCACTTCTTTTGAAAGCATCAGGTGAATTCACTTGTGCAACGTTTGGACCGTTGTTTTCATCAGGCTTAGGATCCTTAAAAGAGCATATTTTAGTACTGTGAGAGTTTGTCACTGCAGGAGACAAATAAAGAGGCCCACTACAACTGGGTAGAATGGGTGACACTTCCTCGTTTAGGTTCACAGTTTTCGCTGAATGCATTGCAGTAGTAAATTCCTCTGCATGGTAATGACCAACACGTAGTAAGCATATAATAAACATTTAGAAGATTCACACCTTAAGGTATTACATCCTTAAACTATTAACCAGAGAACAAACCTTGCTTGCTTTTAGGAGAATTCCTTAAACTGGTATCTATTGCTCCAGGGCAACAATCATTAACTGCATTTGAATTTGCAGCTGCAAATCAAATGATTAAGTAAGCAAAGCACTATAAGAAAATACAAAAGGGAAAATGAAGTGAATCAACCTTGTAAAGTTTCTAATCGGTTCGCTGCCTTTCCTGTTAAAGGAGAAAGGCCACTATTGAAAAAGATACGAAGCTGTTCTAAAATCAGAACTCTAGAAAATGAACTTAAAATGCAGCAAAGAAAAATGAATAGCTGGATACTTAATGCACCAGAGGAAGCAGCCTACCTAGTCCATCAATCAAGAAGTTTGACTCAGCAGGAATGGTATTTTCAACTTCAGGTGCATTTGATCTAAGCTTGGCATTAGTACAGTTTTTCGGGTCAGTATCTGTTGAAGAAGCCTGAGCATCAGGATCTGTGGCAGTTGTATCCACAATGACGGAATCCTTGAGTTCAACATTTGTTGTCTTTGATAGGCCCTTTTCTTTCTGCACGATGTTCACTGTTTCAGCAATTGGTTTCACTTCATCAGTCATTGCAGCTTTTCCTTCAAGACCAACATCCCTCCTTCGTTTCTGGGTCTCTTTTTTGTTTTTCACAGGGGCAACGACATCAGTACCTTGGGCACTAGCTGAACATTCCAGTTTAGAAGCATTTTCTTGCAGCCTCCTCGGGTTAGCTTCAACCCAAGCATGCTTGTCAACAACAACAATCTCAGATATATTATCATCTCCAGAAATTTCCTTTGGCCCCAAAGCCGTCTTGCTTCTCGGCCTTCCCCTCACTACATTTCTCTTCTTTGTTAATTTGTTACTCACAAGTTGTACGTAATCCACCTTTGCCAGATGCCTGCTGGACCTTCTCACTCCTGCTTGCAGTTGCACACTAGCAGATTCCGTTGCAACTTCTTTTTTTCCCACTTCGTCCTCACAATCTTCCATTTCTCCTGGCAACAAATTCCTGCTAATTTTCTCCCCACCCTCATTTTCCCTACTTTTCTCATCAAGAAGTTCCCTTTTACTCGAAAGATGCTTATTAACCACAGGAAGTTCTTCATGCTGAACATTTACTGAAGGGACATCACCTGCAGCAGAGAGTTTATCCTTCGAAACATCACAGTGCTCCTGGAACTTATTCCTTCTCGATATTCTGACCTCGCTATGGTCCCCATCCAACACATCATCAACAAAATTGTTGTCATTTAAAGCCTCGGCTTTTGTGACGCCTTTCCCTCCTTTACTTTCAACCTTGCTTCCCTCAGACAATTTTTTCCCTCTTCTGAACCTCCTAACCTCCCTGTCTTCCCCATTCACCAAATCCCCAGTAGTACCGGTATCCTCTGAACCTCTAATTTTTGTGGCACTTTCCACTCTACTTTGTAGCTCAGCTCCCTCCAACTTCTTCCCTCTTCTGGACCTTCTAACCTCCCTAGCTTCCCCAGTAACGGGATTGTTAGTGTTTTGATTATCATCTGTAAAAGCAACAACTTTAGCAGCCCCTTTTCCTTCCTTGCTTTGAAACTCAGTTCCTTCTGACAATTTCCCTCTTCTTGACCTCCTAAGCTCCCTAATTTCTCCATTCACTGCACTTTCAAAAGTACTGTTATCCTCTTCAACGTTGCTGGTCTTCTCCCCTCTATTCTCTAATTTAGTTTCCTCCAACAATTTTCCCCTTCTAGACCTTCGAACCTCCCTAACTTCTCCATTTGTTGCATCACCAGTAATATCATTATTGTCCCTCAACACATCAATATTTACAGCTCTTTTCCCTCCCTTGGTTTTAACCTCATTTTCCACTAACAAACTCCCTCTACTGGACTTTCTAGGCTCCCCGACTTCCCCAGCCACCCCATCATTGTTAATAGTATCTGCCAAACCACCATCCTTATCTTTGCACAACACAGATTTTCGCGTCCCTCGATCCCGTACCTCAATATATCTGACCTCCGACTTTTGAAACTCAATCATCTCATTCTGAGGACTGAATCTAACTTTCTTGGCGGGCCTGTTTCTAACATCAGAATCATTAGCACCCATGTTTTCATCCAAACTCTTCAAACAAGATGGCTGCCCTTGAGGCAATGGTTTCTCTTTAACCTGAATTTTTAAGTAAAATTCAACAATTCGATAACCCAAAACCCAATAAAACCACAAAAGATCACAACAACTACCAAGCATTATGAACCCCCAAAAAAATGGGAAGAAAAAAAAAAGAGTACCGCAAGAAGAGCAGTGAGCCTATCTGCCATCTCCAAATTCGTCAAATTCGCCGGAATTTTGTGTTTCTTACATAGATCCTGGAGCTCTTTCCGCTTCAACTTATGATAATCCATCTTTGTAAAATTCTGCCCGAAAGAAAACATTGAAATTCAATCAACCCGGAAGGCGAAACCATGGGGAAAAATAAAAATTCATCTATCCGATTACGAAATTACCTTGTAGATTGAGAACGAATTGATGATTCAGTTCATAACTTCATCATATAAAAGTGACTTCGTGGAACTGAAAGGATTTCTGGGGACCGTTCTAGATATAAATACACTTATGATTTTGAATTTGGTTTGAACAGGGGAAATCCCGCCTCTTCTTTTCTTTCCTTTTTCCATTTTTTAAATTATTCTTTTGAAGGGATAATGCTCTTTTTCTTTTAGTTAACTTATTGCACACTCTCGCTGATGAATACTTAGAAACACGCGCGCTTCAGCCATTGCCACGTGGTCGACGAGAACCTTGAAAAATGAAACCACGGGAGCGCGTTGCTTTTTAAAAAAGAGCACGTGAGAGAGGGTATGGCGTTCCTTTTTCCTTTTTATAAAATTTAGGCTCCATTTGGGCAAGAGTTTTAAAAAGACTTTTAAGGCTAAAAAGTCTGTTTAGAGTTTAAAATGCGTTTTGACAAAATAATTAAATTCTTTTCTAAACATCAATTTGAAAAAAAGAAGACTTAAAACAGTCTTTTTAGAAAATAGGTAGGGGGTATTTTTCAATTTTTTGAAACAGGGCTTTTTTCTCCGTTCGCGGGTCTAAACCGAGTCGAAGTCGGGTAATGAATATAACGGGAAAACAAAGTCCTTTCTCTCTCTCTTTCGTCGCGCCCCTTTCTCACTCTCTCTCCTTTGGCACCCCAGTGACGGCGACGGCGACGGCGACGGCAAAACTCCCCGTGACGGCGACGGCGAAGTAGGAGCAACACCTTGTTCTGATAATCTTTCTTATTCCTGTCTTTTTTTCTTTTTTTTTATTAGATTAGGTTTATCTTCCAATCACTTCTAATACTTAGATTTACACTCGAATCCTTGTTACTTCAGTAGGGATTCGTGTAAATTTTTTCATGGGTTTTGTTTATTGTATCATATTCGAAGTAGGTTTGTTTCCAGTTGCCATGGGAACCATTTTTTCAACAGAAGTCATCTTCCTATGGCTGTGAGGTGGTTCCTCGATGTTCAAGCTCATTTTTTATCTGCTCATTTAGTTGCTTCAGTTAGTCCAACTAAAAATGACACATTACGGTTTTGACATTATAGGGATAAGCTATTTCCTATGGCTGACATTGTAACCCCAAATCTAAAAGAGGCATCCGCTTTGTTTGGTGGTATGCTGTTGGAATCACTTGCAGACATGCGTACTGCTGCCAAATCTATACATGATTTTGCCCCAAGGTGAGCCTTATCGTACAATTATTTATAAGAGTCTGCTTTGAACTTACCAATTCATTTGGAAAACTAGTGCCACCTCGGAACTGATATGCCTAATAGATTAGATTGGCATGAGTCTCGAGAATCTTTGTGGTTTATGAATAAGATTTACCTTAACTGCATGATCTTTTCTTGATGGATTTGGACAAATGTCAGTATTCTCGAGCTTAATAAATTCTTTGCTTGGTAAATTTCAAGGGTGCATTTTCTTGCTAAACTAAAGATAAAGTTCCAGCTAAGATCATGAAGAAATTTGTCATACTTATTGATATAGGCAGAAGATCAGATTGAATCTCATGTAAAACAGCTGAAAATTGACAGTTTCACTTTCTCTTTAGTCAAAAACATTAGGTAGTTGACATTAATACTGAACTAGCTTTCTAGATAGCTCTTCTCATGCAATCTTGTTTTCTTTTTAGTTCTGATCACTTTGAGCACAAGGCTGAATTAGTCACTTACTGCAGATATGTGCTTGTCAAAGGAGGTGATCTCCTGGTATTGTCAGATGCTGTTGATATTTTATATGATGGTATGTCTGACAAAATTCGTAGAGTTCTCCAGTAACATTGTGGTGTTGTGGTAACTCAAATGCATGCAATTTAGATGCAAGACTTACTTTTCATTTTCAATATTATGGATAACTCTGTAGGCAACAATTTTTTTAGTTCCGAGCTTCTAGGGTGAGAACTCCAAATACCCATGGAACTGGTTACAGTTTGGCTTCATCTATTGCTGCTGAGCTTGCAAAAAGGTTCACCAGTAATTTCTGCTGTAAAGGTACGTGTCTGAATACTGCTCTTCTCAATGATGATTTCTGATGACGTGGTAGCTTACGTAAATAAAGCATCAGTTGGATTTCTCTCTTTAGTTGATTTTGACTCGAATGAGGAGCTGGTTGAGACTTGATCGTATTTTCATTCGTGAAAACAGAGAAAGGAGATACCTTGTAGAGTTTTGTAATCATCGTAGAGTTTCATTTATTTGTTTTGGAATAGTTTATGTTTCTTTAGGTCTTAGCTCTGCTTTTATGTTGTATGTCAAATTTCATCTCTAAATTCAGACAAAACTATTATAAATAAGGGGCATTTCCCCTTTTTACTTATCTCTTAACAGAATCTGCTTTATCGGTGAATTGTGATTATAAGGTTACAATCCTTGGAGAATTGACTCCATGGAGACAACCCTGGATCATTTTACTGTTGAGAAAATGGCAAGTGCAAAGGACATAAGTATCAAGACCAATGTCATTATGGATATGGTAATGCAACTTGCATTAGAAAGGGAGCGTCTAAAGAAACAGGTACCTTTGCTTTTATTGCCTTTATGTTGATTTATTCAACTAGCAGAAGATTTATTACACCCCCCTACAGAGGAGGTGCACTCCTCGTATAATATTCTGCAATTTTATTTTCTTGCTTGCAATCTGGTAAACTAAGAAGGTGAGATGATTGACATTGTTGCAGCTTAATGATTTAGCAAAAGAAAACAAGTTCCTCAAAGTGAAGCTAAGAAAGACTGAAAAGGATGAATGCTTGACTGCACATGACGACATTGATAAGAGTGAAAAAATGTTGCCAACATCTAGAGCTGACTCGGCTGCTGCGTCGTTAAATGATGAATCACAAGGAAAGTCATCAAATCATTCTCCAACTCTCTGGTAAGATTTCTTCACCAATCTTAGTCAAATGTTCTGTATTTGTGCATTTAAAGTAGTTTTTTGGCTTATTCAGAAGTACAGTTTTGAAGCGAAAATGAAACTTATAACAGTCATACCTATCATCTTTGCAAATCTGATCATCTTTCATCTTGCCGCGCATTAATGCTAATACATATGTTTAAACTTGTTGATCCAGGTGGAGGAAACACTTAATACTGCATCTTCAGATCAAAATGAAATGGGCATTTCCAACAGTGCAGAAAATAGCAATAATCTGAATTCAAATATGGAGGATAATAATCTGATCAAGGCGCGGAAGAGTAGCAGAATGTACGTAGTCATGGCGATGTTGATAGTCTTACTAGCAGGATTAGCAGCTTATTTCTTGAACTCAAATCATGCACCCTTCCAGTTCTTAGATGCTTATAACCTTTTGGTCTTTTAGCTTAGTATAGCAGGGCATTCATTTATTAACTTGCACATATTTCCCTTCAGTAGGTTGTGCTTGTAGTAATTTTGGAACAAGACAATTGTGAATAATAAAACAAAAATTTAGAAAAGATAAGTGAAAAAGAAAAATGAAAATGACAATTAGTGTAAGAATGATTTTCTTTTTTTAAAAAAAAATTCATAAATTATTTTGAAGAAAAAGTAATTTTGAAAAGGACCTAGTCCAAATAACTTTTTAATATTTTTAATTACTAAAATGGTTTTAAAAAATTCTTGTCCAAATGCATTATTTCTCAAAAAGTACTTTTTCAAGTTTTGGTTCAAATAAACTTTTCTAAACAAATTTTCAAAACACTTGTCCAAATGGAGCCTTATAATTTTTTTAATTGTGTCTTTTTTATTCTTCAGTTTCAAGCATTCATTTCAAAACTTTAATTTATCATTATTCTTTTTCAGTTCCAAAATTCCAATTCGTATTGCCAATTCAAGGTCTCAGATCTCATAAAAATTCAAGGTCTCAGTCCTCCAAATTCAGATACACTTTTATGAAGAGAATAGAATGTGGTAAAAAGAAATAATGTAGGGCTCCAATGGAGCAGATGTAAGCTTAGAAAAGCTCCACAACATCTGTAACGAGGAGCTCCTTCCATTTTCCAGACATGTAACTGTATCAACCACTGGGAAAAAAAAATTTCAAGGAGGATACCTGACTAAGTCTGGTGTAAAATCTGCATTATCTCATGAGCTTAAAATGTCCCTTAAATCTGCCATAAAAATTTGTATTAGACATACAGCTCTGAACCTCGTAGTGTGTTGTGTTCAATTCCAATACAATGAAAACTCAATCAAATTGCACTTTACAGAGGGTGGAAAAACACAGTGTTTCCAATTTCTCTACCAATTTTTCATACCACAGAGCTTGTATAATCTTATTATATGCAATGTCAAGACCATTTGATTCAAAATAGATGCTGGACTAGGTAAATGAATAAACCAAATCAAATCTAATCTTTCCAAACTGTAAAAGATGCCATGGTTTTCCAGTAAATCGAAATCTACTGTACCACAACCAATCCAGATGCGAGTCAAAACATCAAACACTTTATGAACGATGAGGATAACAAAGAAAAACCCAATTGAAAGGGATGCTAATTGGAACCCAGACAAAGAGTCAGAAATCTCGTGTGGAAAGTGCCGCTCATTGCATCACCAGTTAGCCGTGAAAGCTCTGGCGAATGCTGCGTTTTGCACAGTTAAGAGATTATCATCATTCATCAAAAACAAGGAAAAAAAAAAAAAGACATGATTTTTACAACAATTTTGCCCCCCAAAATAAACCCCAATTCATAATTCCCCATTCAATCAAAGCTCAAAATAATGAACCCATTCCAAGAAAAAATTTGAACAACATAAGGGTTTCTTCAGGGGCGGATTATATAGAAGGAGAGAAGTTGGAAGTGACGGCTGCTAAAGGAATAGAGAAACCCTCAGTTAGGTTTATAGGGAATTTCTAAAATAGTTAATTACATTTACCACCCATGAGATTGCGTTAATTACGTACTAATCCTTCAAAACTTTTCCTTTTTTCTTTACTTGCCCAAAATCCACCACGTAGCATAGAAATAGATTTCTTCCATGGGAGGAGGAGCTCACTTGTTTCCGGTTTCCGCTCCATTTTCACCCATAACCAAACAAGCCTTTCTCTCCATTCCATTTCCATGCTTCCTTTCTTCCTCCCTGAGGCAAAATTCCCAATTCACATCCAAAGTGGAGACCCGGAATCGTAAAATGTCGACCACCGCCAAAAAAAATGGTGGGTTCGACGCCGTGGCTTACGAAGAAGAGCGTTTAAGCCGCGACGCTGAAGCCCGGGAAGCCATGGCTGAAGCATCGAAGAAGGAGATTCAAGACGAATCCGACCCGAAAGCTTGGAAATGGGTCATCAGGAAACGGGTCTGGGATTTGATGGAAGCTCAGAACATCGCCCAGTTCCCTAGGCCTGTTCATCATCGAATACCCAATTTCGTTGGCGCTCACTTGGCTGCTAATAAGGTAAAAAATTTTCCCGCCATATTTAGAACAAGATTGATCATTTGAGTCTTTTTTTTTTTCTTTCCATTGTTGTTATTAATATTTACTGAAAGGGAAAATATTGGATTGTGGCAGTTAACTGAGCTGGATGAATTTAAGACTGCAAAATGTGTGAAGGTGAATCCCGATACTCCACAGAAGCAAGTCAGGTTTCTCACTCTCACCGGTCGGTTATTCCTTCCTTTTTAAAAGCTTTTAATGCAGTCATTTTATTCTAGTCTTTTTGTTCTTTTGAGAATTTTTACTGGCATCTTCATATAAGATATGTCATAAGTTAGCCTTTAATTAGTCGGGTGATATCTAGGTTACCTATTGGCTTTTCTCTAATCTGTAAAAATGCTAATGCAGTGTGTGACATTTGGTTCATAGTTTACAATGGATATTCTTGGTTGGAATTATGTACGAAAAATTAATATGTAATCAGGGATTCAGTTTCTGGTAATCTAGGAGGGATGTTTACTTTCATGTTGGTGTCTTCAAAATCATTATTGCACTTGATTGTTGTTAGTTGAAATTATACTGTCGAATCGGAAGTGTGATTGCAGTTCAGGGGACATTAGCTCATGGAATTAGGAATCAGCTGCATATTGTGATGTGACTGATAGTTGTAATATGCTAACTTGGCACTTTTACAAAGTTGATTCCTTCTACCGGCCTCACTTCTTTTATGTTGCATTTGCATCTCAGGAGGGAAGCAGTTACTTACCCCTCAGCCTCGCCTAAGGACTGGATTCTTCTCAATACTGGAGTCCAATATGTTGAGCTCTGACACAATCAAGGAGGCATGCACTTCCGTTGGTGTTGCCAAGTATGGAAGGGCCATTGGATTGGATGAGAAGATCAAAGTAGACCTCATTGTCATCGGCTCTGTTGCCGTCAACCCCAAGACTGGTGCACGGCTTGGCAAGGGTGAGGTATAACTTTCTGATATTGTTTGGGCATTAGTTAAGTTGATTGAATTCAGGTTCTTTGCTAATGTAACTTTATCTCAATAATCATTTACTGTGGTACAGGGGTTTGCTGAACTTGAATATGGCATGCTGCGGTACATGGGTGCCATTGATGACTCGACACCAATTATCACATCTGGTGAGAATTCTTCAGGCTTGGTAACTCAACTTGTCATCTGTAAATTTCTTCATATCATGTTTTAATGATCCAATTTGAGCAAAACCACCATACTTTTAAATAACCTGCCCTTGAATGTTCTTCTCCTTTATTTGTACTTTTCTCTTTCCTGAATATGTGGTTCGATGTAACACTCAAATGAGATATGACGTATGAAGCTGTCTCCATACAGTGGGTTAAGAAATGTTTTGTTTTTTTTTTAAAAGCAACTTGCATTTCATTCATCCAAATCATTTACATCGGCTGTTTGTACATCATTTACAGCAACTAATTATACATCCTGTGGAAAATTATCATACCACAAAATACTACCATTTTTGGATCTAAAGCCAATTTGGCTGTTATATGTGCAACTCTATTACAAGTCTTTTTTACATAATTAAATTTGATTTTAGTTAACTTTTTTGTCAAACTTCTAATGTCCTTAATAAGAAATGCTTGATTTGCCATTGTTATTGTTGTTGAAGTGCACCTTTTCCTTAAAGGGTATAATATTTTCCTCTATAACCAACCTCTTTAGTGGAATAAAAGATTCAAATAGTGCATCATCATTTTACTTAAATTCCCGTTAGCTGAAGCATCTCTTATAAGTTGTCAATCTCTTGCAGTGCATGACGAACAGCTAGTGGATGACATTCCAGTTGAGAAGCTATTGATTCATGATGTGCCAGTTGACATCATTTGCACTCCTACCCAAGTCATATTTACCAATACATCCATACCAAAGCCTCAAGGTTTGTGAAACATGTGCTCAGTTTATGGCTTTTTTTGGTGTTTAATTGCAAAGGATGACCATTAAATTCAGAGCCAAGTAGATGTTTGAGTTTCTGTAGAAGAAGAAAGGGGAGGAAAACAACTTGAGTAGTGAACCGTAATTGTGTGTATCATGTCATAAAGATTTCGAGAAACTATGTTTATAATGGTAACAAACAGTTGAGAAAACGTGGACACATGGTATTTGTTCAGGGGTAGTATTCCAGTATCACTATTAGTGTTTGTGATTGTGGCACACTTATTTTGATGTTGCTGATCTTTATACTAGCACCAGATTACTCTAATAGCATGTTCTTTCCAGGCATTTACTGGGATAAACTTTCTCCTGAAAAGCTTGGTCAAATCAAGATACTCAGAGAGTTAAAGAGCAGAATTGAACGGGAAACAGGCCAGAAACTCCCTTCTGGCCCTTCAGAGAAGCTCCCACCAACTGCTCAACGCAGACGCCGAGGGTAATTTTTCTGCTGCCAGCAGGCCCTGTGTTCGTTTCTTTGAGAGTAAATACTTACAAATATGTTGTAGATGGTTGGTTCTTTTCCTAGAGTTCTGTGAAAATGTATGTAAATTGAATGTAAATCCAAATTTGTCCAAAGGCAAAAAGCAGGAGGAAACCGTTGTTAATATTCTTTCTTGAAGTTGTACTTATGAAGCCTCCAAGAACAGTAAACTCCAGTATACTCCTTTTTTCATACAACGGAGTTTCTGGTTTGTATTTTGTTTTTTGTTTGATAAACTAAAAGAATCTTTTATTTGATCAATCATTTGATAAACTAGACTTCAACTCCAATCGTTAAAGAAATGTGTTAAACTAGGCTCAAAATCCAATCGTTAAAGAAAATGTATGCAATCGCTACTGAATCTAGTGAAAGTCCGAGCATGTTTTCTTTAGCTAGCCTTTTATTTCGGACTCAAAAGATTTTATCTCTAAAATCCTAAAAATAAAAGAGTAGTGATAGATGGAGGAAAAAATTATAAACTTACTAGGAATGATGTGTCATTTATCAAAATTATACCCTTACTTTAAATATTTAAATTTCGAATGGAAAGTTTTAAAAATGAGTTGCTATGATTAATTCCTTATCATGTCTCGCCGAGGTTTTGAACTTCTTACAAAAAGCAAAATTATAAAAAATAAAAAAAGTGGAAAATCGCTAGAGGAAGGGCTTGAACCTTCGACCTTGTGGTTAACAGCCACACGCTCTAACCAACTGAGCTACTCCAGCTCGCCTGACGATTTCGAAAAGGCAACCATTTTATCGTATGAGACGCGTTGGCATCAACAACTTGCTCAACATTATCCCTAAACCATAAGACGTATGTTTCATGTAACGTATATTTGGTCATATATATCAGTCCTCTCCCGTAACAATATATGCATTTGTTTGTCAGTTAGATTGAATGCATTTTGTAGCGTGTAGAGTTACTAAGCATTAACCTGCTTCAAGTACCACTTTGCTTATTTTCATTAAGATTGAAGGAAATAATGTAGGCTGTGATGTCACAATCCCACAAATTAAGTGAACTGTGAAGAGTGCGCAAAACTGCAATATAAGGACCAACGCGGATCGTACAACGTTAAGAAACAAAAAGCTTCAAAACTTACAACTGTGGCACCCACCCTTTCTACCCTTCTCAAGAGTATTTTACATAGTCTAAATAAAATATACTCTGTACATATCTACCATTGTGCTAGCCTCTTCCATGGTATATATGCTTAACTGAGTAATGCCAAGGCGAAACTAACTCCGACATGTTCTGAAATGCGCTACTAAGAACAAAATTACTAGTTTTAATAGAAACATAGTCTGAATAAGATGGGATTTTTCAAGGACACATAACAACCTCTACACCATTCTTATAATGGGTAAACGATTGTTCTGCTGAGGGGCCACGATGGATAAATGGTTGTTTTGCGGAGGGGCTGTTTCGATGGAAGAAATTATCTGCGGCATTGACATTCCCACGGACACAATAATTTCTGAAACACGGCAAAAAACAGTGGTGGTTAGCAAAGTGAGTATGCTCGTACAAGACGCTGAGCAGCCTAAACTTCAAAGTTCATCCTCAACTTTACTAACAATCTTCCAATTGGGACACTAGAAATAGGAGAAAAGAGATAGATATTGATATTAACTATCTTAGCCTATTCATTGATTCATAAATTAGTGAGACTTATTAACCAAAAAAAAAAAAAAAAATTAGTGAGACTTAATAGTCACATGAGGGAAGCAGCCTACCTATGCCTTCTCTGACGGACAAATTTGGCCTTATGATCTCTTTCGAGTTGAGTAGGTAGATGTCCCCAATGTATAAGTGATTTGTTGGCACATACACACTACACAGTTCCTCATCCCCATTATCTCTCTGAGTAAGACAAGTATTAATCATAAAACAAAGCAAAAACATAACTCTTTATCCCTATTATCTCTCAATATTACAAGTATCAATTGCTGCAACAAACAGAAAACTCATACGTAAAGATTATGGTGATCATTATCAGAATGTGAGTATGTCACAGTAGTCAAGTTGAATAGAAAATGGTTCCAAAACTGCAAGTATGAGACCTAAGAATATCATTCAAATATGGTCTTAAAGACAAGGCAAGATTAAATAACTTGCAAAGTGTATCTGGAACTGAACTTCTTAGATTGTGTTTTACTCAAGTTCGAATCACATATGAGAATATATAGCGTGCCTGAGGTTGAAAGGTAGTAGCTACAGCTATGAATGATTAGCAGAAACTTATAAATTAAAATCCAAACAAAGTTTAAAAAATAAAAAATAAAAAAAACCACAAAAACCCCCCAAAAACCAAAACATGTAGGAGTGGGTTCTACACACTCACTACTTCAAAACCAACAGCCATAACACACAAATACAGGATGAACAAGCTATACAAGTGAACGATCCACAATTATGGCACATTGAAATTAAAAACCTTCACACACAATCAAGAGAGTTCTCGCAAGCACCTGAAGTACCACCGTTGATGTAATAAAACCAAATACATATTCACCAACACGAGGATGACGGATAATTGCCACCTCCTTGAAAGCTGAAGTATTTTTTTCTGAAATATAAAAGCTCTCTTGTTAATGTATTTTCTTATACAAACTAGTGGACATCCAAAGAACATAAACATCAAGAGAGGACTGAGGAAAGAATGCATCGAGAAAGCCACAGACGACCAACCATTACCTGGAGAAATAGCTGAGCTAATCTGTTTGGAGGCAGAATACAAATGTTTTACAAATGGCATTCGCTTTATGAACCATTCCCCTAACCAGAAGACCGTGGCCCCGAACCATGATGAAGCAAATATACCAACAAAAAATATAAAAATCACCGATGTGATAAATCCAAGCCCTGCATGATGTATAAAACCTTGGTTAGACAAGAATATTATGCCGTTGTAGATTTTTTCTGAATGCATAACTCCAACAGATGATGGAAGATTGAATATAAAAACAAAAAATATCATACAAAAAAGGCATGCCTTCAATATCAGAGTTCAAAATTAATGGAACAAAGTAATTTGGCGCACCAAAACATATTAGGACAATAGCCAAATTAGCAGTCCTTATAACTTAAACATTTGTCCTTTTTCTTCCATCAAATAGCGGATACTATCAACTCAGGTGAATTAAACCAGCTAATACTGAAGATAAAGAATATTTATGACACTAGTTCTCTTCCAACAAAGGCCAGTGACAATCTTCCACAGTCGGAAACTCATTTATTCTTTCTCACACCGAGGCAGAACAAATTGAGCTCAACGCAAGTTAAGTTTTCCTCCTTGTACCCAAATTAACACACACAGAGAGTTACGGAAAATTATGATCCCAAACTAATTAATGCCACCAGCCATTCTCATCACAATGTATACAAACAGGTAAGCAGGTTAACTACCAAAAGTTTATTAAAAAGAAAGTTAATACTAAAAAAGCCCAAATAGAAGCACAAAATAGAATCCAAGATTGATATTAAGTGAGCTATATAGTTTATACTAGATATCTGAGACTATCAACAAGACGAACACAGGATTACCATAAGAGAAATCACTAACTCACCAAATATTTCTACACCGAGCCTTTCATATATGGGGCTGAAGAAACCATCAAAAAACTGAATAAACCACCATGTTACGTAAAATGTGACGGCTACAGGAAAGAGAACGACGCTGCAATTTGACAGAGTGACCAAAATCACAATAAAGAAAAACGAAAGGTACAAATAAATTGGTGATGAGAATTAAAAAAATCGAGTAAACGGTATAAGAAGTGAAATCAAAGACATTACCATCCAGTCATAAACTTCTTCGAAACCCAGCTTTGCAGGACAGAATAGCAAGCCTGATAACATGTGACAGGCAGAGCATGTGTTAGAAGCGTAGAAGCAAACTTTGGGGAATGATCAAAAGGAGATAGTTTTGTTCGTAGATCCTAATTATAGGATGCATATAATGCTTCATCAAGCAAACATTCAACAGAGAGACAACAATCACGTACATCTCCCCAGAAGTATCACCAGATTTAGATCAATAAAGTTTTCCAATTATCTTCTTGTCAACACACATAAAAGTAACAATGATGTGAGATAATGTGTTGTGAAATCATAAATATTTCATTTTCTGTAGCTGTTACAGTGCATTCTATAGCACGAACAAAGAGAAAGCTACTGCTGTGGTAAGAGATCATATATGTAACCTAAAGTCTTAGATCCAAAAAACAAAAACACCCTCTTGAAGGTACAAAAGGTATGGCTGCATAGATTATAGACCATAAATTAGAGAATTCAGATCTATTTCGAGCACTTTATTAAACCGGGATGGAGATGCCAATTGCCAAACAAAGAAAGAGAGGAATACCTTAACCAAACTCCTCATCCCTAAATCCTTTTATCACTTGCTTTCTCTTTTTAAGGATCTCTTCAACCATCCAAAGAAGTTAATTTGCCACAGAAACAATTATCCAGAAACAAATGGACTCTACAATGGACCTAACGCACACACTTTCTACACTTCTCAAACATTTTGAAAGCAAAAAAATTTTAAATCATTCAAAACTACTGAAGTTTTTTCTAAAGATCTTGTCATCTCATAGAACTTTAAATATTTTCTGAGATCAATTAATTAACAACCTTAGCAAGCCTTAATTACTTCTTCGAAACATAACTTTCGTAACTTACATCGGTAACTGATATTATACATCATTAAACACAAACAATTTCCATCGTTAGCAAATAAACTTCTTTCCAATCAATATTTCATCAGAAAGAAAGAAAAAAATCATGTAAAAGAAGCATAATTATCCAAATGATTCTAATAACAAGGCGTTTTAAGAAATCGAATGCATTACATGTTTTCTCGAAAACTAAAAAGCTTTTTTCTCTTCCAAATTAATTGATGATTTATTTTCCAGGAGACTGGAGAGTGTGAATCTGTGGGAGAGTGGAGAAGAGAGAGTAAAGTAGAGTGAAGTCTAACCTTCCGTGTGGAGGAATTAGTTGGAGAATTGGGAGCGCGGGGCTTGGTAGGATCATCCTCATCTTCAACCATCGCGTTTGGACTTCCAGGTGAAGTCGCCGACGACGTTGACTCTCTCTTGTCCTCAGCCGCCATTTTTCGTTTCTACCACGGCGGTTCCGACGCGAGCGCCTAATTTGTGGAATATCAAAACTACAGCGCAAAATATGGTAAATATGGATTATGGTTGAGTTACTGTTTCACAGCAGAACCGTAGCAAATTGTGTACATCACTTCGTGTAACTATACTTATCAAATGTCATGAAGAAAACAAATAAAATTTATAATCTTGTTAATGGGAACATAGCTAAGTTGTTGTAAAATACGTATTTGGTTTACACAAAAATATAGGTTCAGCTTATTATTTTGGTGATTGTTTGATACAAGTACTCGTCTGGTTTACCCTTATACACAATGAATATAAATATAAAAATATAATTTTAAGGTTTCTTTTCTTCGATAAAAAATTCATACTAAGTAAAATTTATGACAAATCAAAATGTCTTGTATTAAGAACTGGAAGGAGTATTTAATATTACAATTAAGTTTGAACTAGAATGTGCTATGCTCGAGGAAAAAAAATTTGATCCAAACTAAATATTAAACACAATACCGAATAGTATAAAGGACTAATCAAATGAGTAACAATATAAAAAAATCACCAGAATAATAAGTGAAAGTTATATTGTGTGTAAACCAAATATTTTACGACAGATTCGCTATGGTCCTCTCGACAAAAATTATAAATTGTACTATTTCCGTCAAAAAAAAAAAATCCACATTGAGTTTTCAAATTTGTACTAAAAACAGTACATAACTCAAAACTCAATACAAACTATTTTTGTGGGACGGGGGGAGTATTTTTTTCGTTATGACATTTATAAGTATAGTTAAACATGGTACAAGATTAATAAACTCATTAACAAACTCATTTTTGTCAATGCTTGATCTATTGGAAATCTGATTTCAGTTAGAATTGACCTATGAATTATAACATAGTTACTAAAGGAGTAAGGAATACCATGATTATATATATAGTTTTTTAATCTCTAAATTCTTGTCTCACTAACAAAAAGTGCTAAGTGAACAAACAGTGAACCTCCTAAGAAATCATCGTTTTAATGTATGCTGGCGAGTAAATTTTTGTATGACTGTAAATGCCTACTAGTAAGTGATTTTTACAGTTGTTCCTCCATATATAGTATATGTATCATCTTCCACTGCACTTTGTCAAAAACAGATTGAATATATATATTCTTTCCGTTCTAGAAAAATAATTCACATTAAGTTTTTAAATTTATACTAAAACTAGTACAAATTTTAAAATTAAATGTAAACTTTTTTTGGAGAAGAGATAGTATTTTTTAATCATTATTTAGAATTTTCTGTTTTCCTCTAATTAACTCTTTGACATTTTCTAGGTCTTACAATTTTCTTAATATATATTTGATGAACGAGAAGAGATATATCTTTACTTCGTTTGTTTGCTCATTGATTGGTAACTAATGTTTGTAAAATAAATTTTTTTTTTACAAAAACATTAAAATGACACACACAAAAATAAAATTATTTTTGAAATAGTAGTAGACACTAGTAGTCACAAGTCAGCAAACACCCGAAGATGACGTGTCGGATGTAGACTGACCTGAGCTGGACATAGATATGGATTTTACACTAAGAAAAAGCCCAATAAACAATTTTACTGTAAAAATTTAACCCAAGAAAGAAATCTTAAGAAAGCATCGGTGTTTGACGGAAGCAACTCCCTCTTCCGTCGCCGATTTAAATTCCGGCAGCGACACCAACACCTTCATAGCAAACGGACGGCAGAAGCATTCAGAATAAGAAGCAAAGCAGGGAGACCGTCAAGAGCTGATTTCAAGACAGTGGAGAACTGAACGGAGCCTGAAACAGAGGGACCGGTAATTTTCGGACGGAATTGGGGGTGGCGGTACGAGCTCGACGATATTAAAATAGGAGACAGTAAATTGTTGAATAATGGTAAGTGATATGCTATAATTTTCCTGCTCATGCATTCTCAATAGAACTAAGCTTTGAGCATGTTTTTCTTATATCTAGTTTGTACTTGGATATTCGTGGAGTGTTCCTTGATTTATATTTTACATATTTCCAATCAATACTTTAGTGTAATGTAATGAGTTAAATGATTTTTTTTTTTTGTTTTTTGGTTGTAGGTTGAGCTACCAAATGGAGTACCATCATACACACATATTGATCAAAATGATTTTCGAGGGCACAAGTAAGCTTATTTGCTGCTGCTTCTTTCTTTTTGTTTGTTGTTGTTCATGATGATTATTTCTGGTGAAGAAATGTTCTTTGTTTTTGGTCTAATGGTGATGAGTTCTTCTATTTGTATTTTCCATGTCAGACCCAAAAAGCTTAAGGATGATGACATAGCCATTTGTAACTGTAAATATAACCCTAATGAACCTGAAAGCGCTTGTGGTGAGAGGTGCTTGAATGTTTTGACCAGCACCGAGTGCACACCTGGTTATTGTCCTTGCAATGACTTTTGCAAAAACCAGGTGAAATATCCAATATTTAATTTAAATTTGTGGAAATTTTTACTGTCAGTAAGGTGATGTTTGAGAATTTTAAAGATTGCATGTCGTCATTTTATTTATAAATGAGAACAAAGGTAGTTGAGCTAGCTCCCTTGAATTTAAGACTTATGAAGCTGGTCAGTTTCCCTTGATTGCATAAATGATGTCGTAGGGTAGTGTCTGTGAATCTGGTCTCCAATGCAAGGTAGTAAAACTGCTTGGGTTGAGAGTTGGAGCACTACCCTCAAGCATATAAGACAGACCGACTTCTTTTCCTCTTTGATCAGAAGAGGTGAACATGTTTTCGCTTACATGTTGTACTGTGGTAATAAAAAATAGTTTTTCCCATTGTGAATCATTATAGTCCTCAATATACTTAGGTTGCAGAAAGTTGATCTCCTGTCTACAGTTGGGATTGTCTTTTAAGTTACACATTGCTACGTGTCCGTGCCCAAAGTTTCTAGGGAAAAAGCTACATATTGCATGGTACCATGGTTATTGTCGGTTGAAGGCTTTGATTTAGTGCGTGAATAAAGTGTTTAAATGCCTTAAACTCTCCCAAATCTTTATGTTTAATCCCTAAAAAGTTCCATTAAGTTTTTTGTAATTTTCTTAAGTTTCTTCCCATACTTCTGTTAGATTTATTCACTTACTAGATGTTACAGTAAATAAAGTACTTCACAACAGCTGTCATTATCTTTATCTTAGATGTAGTTATAACATGGATCCGGGGTTTCTGATACATCCTTGGTATTTGCCAAAGCTTTTCTTTACTCTTGTTGTGGGGTTGGTTTTTTTTTTTTTTTTCATACTCATGGTTATTTCGCTGTTAAGTATTTACGTTTATCGCTTTTACTTCACCAGAAATTTCAAAAATGTGAATACGTCAAAACAAAGTTGTTTCAAACTGAGGGGCGTGGATGGGGTCTTCTCGCAGATGAAGATATAAAGGTATTGTGTTGTGGTTATTCTAATTCTTCTGCATGTTATATGATAGCCTGATAATATGTCACAAATTTCTACTTCCATTTTTTTTGTTTTACATCGAAATGTCCTTTTGTTGTTAGTTATAACCACGGTATCATTTCATGTCTCCAGTAACAGTCTTTTTGTTTACATCGAATGATCAGGCTGGACAATTTGTAATTGAATATTGCGGGGAGGTAATATCTTTGGAAGAAGCAAAACAAAGGGTGCAAAGTTATGAGTCAGAGGGTAGGCTTTTTGGGCAGCTGTTCTTTTCATTTACTGTTGAGCGGCGCTAATTTTGAAGCCAGCATAAATTGATACCAATTGATACAGGTCTCAGGGATGCATATATAATCTCTTTAAATTGCAATAATTTTATTGATGCCACAAAGAAGGGAAGCCTTGCAAGGTTTATAAATCATTCATGGTGAGTCATGTAGAAGCTTGTATCAGTGTCTTGTATTCGCGCTGTACAATTATAAGTCCCAAATGTGTTATGGAATCTTGCATTTTATCTGCTCCTGGAATTCAAATATTTTTTTAATACATTAACTGGACTTTGCAGCCTGCCAAACTGTGAGACAAGGAAGTGGACTGTACTAGGAGAAACACGGGTTGGAATTTTCGCCAATGTAGATATATGTTCTGGAACAGAATTGACATACAACTATAATTTTGAGTGGTATGGTGGTGCCACTGTACGCTGTCTATGCGGGGCAGCTAACTGCTGTAAATTTCTTGGTGCAAGATCCCAGGGATTTCAGGTGAAGCCTTGAACATTAGTCAAATGCTTTAATGGTTCTGAAGATGTCTTGTCCACAATGTTGGATGATGATGCTTAAGCAGATGTAGATACGGATATTGACTTTTGAGTATTATTATTATTATTATTATTATTTTATTATTATTATTATTATTTTTTTAAAAAAAATCCATGTTTTCTTCCAACAATGAGATAGCAAAATAATTTCAGTCTGAAGCTGAAACTGCTCAATACAAGAAAAAGCGTAAAACTATGGAATTATTGGTATTCCTTTGGACCATTTTACCTGTTCCTGTAACCTGATGGGTTATATTTTGTTCATAAAGTGGCTTTCAGGTTTAGCTGAACTTAAAACGATGTCTGCCAACAGGAAATAAAACCTGAGCCATAAGCCAGTTCCAGTAACTTTTGACTTTTGTCTTAGCTGCGTCAAAGTGCTTAAGCAAAGTAATTACTTAGGGGTATCTTCGTTCATAATTTCATCTTAGAGGTGAATACTGCAGCTCTAGTTCATTAGCTGCTCTTTTAGGGGTGGCTCCCTGCATAAGGTTATACCAATTCTAATGTCGCGAGCTCTTAGCTGGCCAGTAAATATTTGGGTTTTGGGTCATTGCTAGCCTAAAATACTTAAAATTTCTTTTTTCTCTAGCGACCCAGAGATGTACATGGAAAGTCATTTCATGTATCAGTTCCAATGTGGGACACCCATCAACAATGTTGATTGATGATTAAATCAGACCATAAGTTTGAGAGAATCAAACTTGTTGTGTTGAATCTATCTTCATTTTTATGGCTACATTTCCTTCTGGTAGTTTGAGAGAAATCATGCGTGTTATGTTGTTTCCATTTGCCAACAGGAATATAGCCATGTTTGGGAAGAGGGAGATGACAGGTAAACTTTTCCTCTACCTTACTTCAAATTTGAGTATTAAGCAACTGCCTTGTCAATGAGCAGAAGTGCATTTGGGTGGTAAACTAGATTGTTTTTTATACCCTGACATGCATCTGGTTATGATTTATTTGTTGCTGAAAATTTCTGATTCTTTTTTAATCTGTGTAACGAACCCTTTTCTATGCTCATTTCTTTTTTGAAATCTATTCAAAAGTTGACACTTGATCGTGTTTGGTTATTGCTGCCATTAATTGTCTTTAGAATCATATCTTGCTGGTTGGAGAGAAGTATCCTTGTAGAAGCCGGGTGAACATTAAAACTAACATGCTTTAACCCTATCAATAGATTAATTGAGAGATTTCAATAGTGAGAACGAACTGATAACTGTATGATCAATGGGAAAATAAAAATTCTACAGAACAAGCGTTTTCTTTTCTGGAAGCCTTTCTCGTATGCTCATTATTCAGAATCCTAAAGTCACCTTCTAGCTATCTTCCAAGGTGTAAAATTGGGCTGGCTGCCTTTACAAACAGCTCAGGTAAAATATTGGAAGGCTCACAACTGGAAACGTAGAAGACAGAATAATATAAATCCTTCTGCTGTCAACCAAAAACCAACGAACTATAATGCTTGATTGATTGCTTTTGTTAATTGTTATGAAGAATAGCCTTGTTCAACTCTCCTGATGATGAAAATTAGCGCGAAAAGTTCTAACCAAGTGTTCCTTATTGTTGTTTATTATGGTTCCTGAGATAGCTTACCTTGGTTTTCTTTCTATTATGGACGTTGATGTGCATGGGTTCTAATTTTGCTTCTGAAACTGTGTTATTTTTCCTTTCTACAGATATAAAGTTGAGGAAGTTCCTCTTTACGACTCTGCCGAAGATGAGCCTTTTCCACAAATGTGCAAAACCATTAGCTCTTTCAAATTTGAATCTGTAGATGGTGCAGGAATTGATTATTCTCTGAAGGCTGAAGGTGACGAGGCATCTGAATTGAAGTTGAACTTTGACTCCGTCAAGCCGGGGAGTTCAGTTCTGATGGGAGAGGTCTCGCTTAAGGAAGATATTGTCGTCAGTTTGGACAGTGGTTCTTTAAACAAACAAGGCTCTGAACTCGGCTTTCTCCAGACAACTGAAATGGCACCTCGCCTTCGGAGTACTAGTGCTGGGCGGAATTTTAATGCTGGAGCTAGTCCATCAAAAAGGAAATCAAAACAGCATAAGAGTAAGCAGAAGAAAAGATCTTCTGGTGGCCAGCAATTTAATACCAGAGATATTCCAATACTGTTTCAATCAAAGGAGGTCCAAGATGAAGTTCGCAAATATGAGGTATAATTTCTTTTGTTTTGATTTTGAAATGTAATCCTATTTTATACTATGCAGTGTACCAGTTTCAGTTTCTTTTGTCTTGACCATACTTGTCCAATAACCTTTTGTGTACCCCCTGGTAATTTTACCGGTTGACATTCAAGTGGTTATTAAGCACTGTTTTTTTGAGCTTTTGCTGATGTTTGGGTCTTCATGGTCAAAAACTATTTATGCCGTCAACACTCCCCATCCCCATCCCTCTTTTCAATATCAGTGATTTGTGAGACGACAAGGATGGATTGAAATTATTTATTCTGTGACAACCCTTGGCATCTTTAGTGATTACTGTGCATCCCCTGTTTGGAACTGAAAAATATGTGTAGTATCTTGTGGAGATTAGAAGTGGTGCAATTGCATTTGAAGTGTCATGGTGCAATGCTGAATATTCCTCTTATGTAAATTTTGTTTCACTAATTGATACTGTATTTTTTCCCCTTCTTTCCTTTTTTCCCTGATTAGCTGGCTTGGGTGAGAACTTTAATCTCTAAAACTATGATGCAGGAATTGAAAAACCAGGCCACCACCGATCTACAGTCCCTGTATGACGAAATACGTCCTGCTATTGAACAACATGAAAGCAACAGCCAAGACAGTGTTCCGACAAGTGTAGGAGAGAAGTGGATAGGAGCACACTGCAACAAATATAGGGCTGATTTTGACTTTAGCTTTTCGATTATCAAAAACTTTCTCGATGCTGCTAAAAATGCTACCGGTTCTCAGATACATGGTCAAAATTCTGCCGGAGCTGGAATATCTGCTCAACCTACTGATGCCGGAATGGAAGCTATAGGAAGTGGAGACCCTGGAAATGTATAAAACCATGGTTTTATGGCTTTCGTGTACCTTCAGTGAATTACTTGCAATATGAAAACATATTTAGTGTCACTTGGATGATTGTAGTGATTTTGGATTTTTTTTCCTGGTGGTTGGCTTTCTTCCTCTTTTCTTTTGGGTGCGTTTTCCATAAAAAAAAAAAAGAATAAAAAACCTTGCTTCTTTACCAGATAGATACTGCTATGGAAGAGTAAACATAGTCAATTTTTACTTTAGAAAAATTTTAAAAAAATTCCAATGTTGATAGTGCATATTTTGGAAAATGTAGAGGGAATATTTTCAGGAAGTACATGAATGAAACTTCTAATGGTGAAGATGTTGAATTCTCAAGGGTTGGATGATATTTTAGATGATCAGCTTAAAAGATATATATATATATATATATATATATATATATATAATTTTTTTCCCACCGGGTACCCTGTGGGTTTATTTTTCTTTAGGCAGACATTTTTTTGGTGCCTTGGAGTTACTTACACCATTAAAACAGGATGATCCTTAGGAAAATGAAGGAATACAAAACTTGAGTTTAGTGCAGCCAAGTTGGCTCAACGAGTTCAAATCAAGTATGTTATCTTCCTTTACCGATATTACAGTTGAATTCAAAACAGCCAGTCTCTTGGCAGATGATAAAAGGAGGGGTAAATGAAGAAGATATATCATACACCACGCTAGCTCTTCCAGACTAGTAAAGACAATAGTTTCAGAAAGATATACAGTGTCAATGGAATGAAGCGGCTGAACACGTACAGTTTCTCATATTTCTTAAACTATCATCCAAGTACTAAGAACACCAACATAGCAAAATCAGAACAAGTCATATATCCAAAAGCGTGAATAACTAGGTTGCTGGCTACTGATGAAAAAAAGGCTGTTGGAAGACTTCTACATAGTTTAACAATGATCACGATTATTAGCATTTAAACAGAGTAGGAACTCAAGACATTTTGTAGAAGCGCCATCGAATCTTTCAAAAGGCTACAACTAACTTTTCTTCTTTATTTAAACAACTAAAGAAATCATAAATCTTGGTCGATTCCAGAGTCTGACGTCGAAACACTCTGAGTCTGAGCTTCCAAAAGCTGTCTTTGGCGTTCGGCATGTTCCTTTTCACATGCACTGATTCCCATTATGATGTCAAGCATAGTACCAGTCGTGCCAAAAAAAACGAGGGGTGCCAAAGACTTTCGCTTAATACCAACTGGTATGGCAATCAATGCCCCAGCTACCGAGAACACCCATGTACCTAATGCACTGCAAAATATATTATCTAAATTATGTTACAATAAGAAATTCATTCAACAGATACATCTATGTGATAAAATGAAATTGAGAGTTAAAACCAGATGAAATCAAGAACATCCTAAAATGAGCAAGCTGTGAAAATAATGACTAGCATGATTTTTAGTAAAGAAATTCATTCGAATGCCACTTGACACAACAATTACATCTTGAAGAACAGAAACAAGTGTTGACTGTCAATTTTTCCTCCAAGCAAAATTCCAAATCAAACCAACCAATCTAGGACGTTTTCAGGAGATAAACGGTTTCCAAATCGTTAGTATTTGAAGTCCTCGTCTCATATCTATGTAAAGCACAACGTCTAGGCATCTGGCAAGATCCAACAGTGACATTAAATGCAAAGGCAAAATGACAAAGCTACGTGGATCAAGAGATGATGCAACTATGGTGACAGGAAAATGTCATCAATCTTGATTTGCCATGTATTGGAGATAATGAGCCACCTTTTGGAACTTGAGTATTTGCAAGAGTGTTTTCAATCAGTTTTTTAGGACACAGGTCTAAGACTTCATGTTCCTTTTGTAATTGTAATATCAAGTTATCAAGGTTATTTCAGTAAAGTTGATAATACACAAGAATATTCTAAGGTCCAGCTTTGCTAGTTTGAATCTTTGTTTCTAAAGATTGTTTATGCAAGTTTTAACCTTTAGCACCGAGTCTAGATAGAATGATCACTCTTCAAGAAGCGAAGGATAAATCAGAATCTAACTGGCTTTTTGGTTCCGTTCATAGATCAATTTTACCTCTCTAAGAAGCATTCTGATCAAAGTCAATAAAAATTTCAAGTAACAGGCTTGTCAGTTTCAAGGTTTGAAAGATACAAACTTTCCTCACGCGCGATGCTTAAGTTCCCTTGGTATAACACCCTAACGATTCTAGAAGCGATTTCTGGAGAAACTTTTGGTTTTGCTAAAATTTATACACTAGTTTCCGATTCTTTTATAAAGTCACCACCTCCTTGCTTCCCAAAAGCCTAGGATTTTCTAAGATTGTTTCAGCTGAACGCACTTGTGCCCCATCACTTTATGAGACGATGGGAGAAACACAGTCAACTCATAAAGGACAATCTGTTTCTTTTCTATGAAAAAAATTCACATCCTTGGACATTTGTTTGAGGCATATAGCAAACATGACTGCTATTAAAGAAACTTAGGTAGAATCTTATTACAGAATATCCATCGGCAAAAACAATAAGAAGTCAGTAAAGAGTCTTTCCTATATGATCCAGGATCTTTTATTTCAGAGGTTCAGAAAATGGTACAAGCACTCTGAATTTCAACAAAGAGAACACATGCCTCAATAGAGACACATGGCCTGTACACGCAAAAGAATCAACAAATACAAAAATGTGTATACCGTAATTTACTACATGCTATACTTCGTAGGTGATCTTGAAGTTCTCATGGGTTCCAGAATAACTAGCGACTTGGTCACAAAACAACAGTAAAACAACACATATCGACTATGATACAGCTGAGGCAAATGACACCAAAGGCAGCAACCGAAAGAAATTATCTAAAATGCCTCTAGTTGGAATTTATATAAGCACTCAATTCATACACACGAGGGACTACACATCAGGTAAGACATGAGACGTTTTAAAAAAAAAAACAGCAAAGTAATCACGGGGAAGTTCTGACAGTAAGACCCCAATATCTACTAAAGAATTTGAGATAAGCCAAAATTCTATGATCGATAAGAATTTTCAGCAATCAAACTATTTAGGTTCCAATAAGAAAATGAAAATGCAACATTGGTAGCAGTAAGACATGGAAAGTAGCTAAAACACAACTAAGGAATCACATGGAAGTTCTGACTGAAGGACCCCAATGTCTACCAAAGAATTTAAGATAAACACAAAGTTCTATCATCAACTACAAATTTCTTCACACAAACTATTTAGGTTCCAAAAACATAATGTACGGATAGTTAATCTGGATTTCTTTGTTTTACAATCTCAAAACTATTCCATCAAAATCACTGCTCTATATCTGTTATGTTCCAAGAGTCCATTACAAAGTTTTGAGAGAATGAAAGAAGTTTGGAAAAGTGGGTGAATAGCAATAGTTAGAACTGCTTCGCCAACTAAAAGCGAGGCACATTGCCACTAAAATCTTCCTAAAACTTGAAACACATCGACTGCAACAGTCCAACCTTGGCTAAGCAACAAAATAGGTGATACTGAAAGTCTAAGATCATGTGCGAAAGGCTTCTGATCAACAAAAAGAACCAAGCATAGAGAATGAGGGGGACAGTATGCATCCATATTACACGAATTTCACAAACATCTCTATGAAATTACTAACTCAGCTGAAAGTAATTTCACAATCTCTTCAATTATAAAGTGCAGAATCTACATATAACACAGCAGATTATAAGACAAAGATGAATACACTCACTTGGACACAGAGCATTCCTCAAGTTGTTTCGTATTCCCAGTCATTGCATTTACCTCTGCATCCACAGAAAAACATATCAGTTTTACTCAACAGCGGGCACCAAAAACTAAACCAACCCAATTCAATAAAAGGGGTTTTCTAAAAAAAAGTGATTGAATTTATTTACTGACTGGTGGTTTTGTGGGCTCGGAGGGCAGAGACAGTGAGGAGCTGTGGGAACTGAGAAACGGTGATTAATTTTCCGTTCCGATTTCAGTTCAGGGATGTGTATTTTTAAGTTTTATAAGTTGACTTATCCGTCTGGTTTTTTGACCGGCTTAACTCTGGGTAAAATGTAATTAACCCAAAACAAAAATGAGGGAAAAACCCAGGCTGACCAAGATGGTTAATGTTGGTCTATACTTTACATGTGGTATAAACTAAGTTATAAAATAAATAAATAAATACATATCACAATCCTAGAATAAGAAGACAATTTGGTTGGGAATCAAATATGACAATTCCAGAGGCCAGCCGGCAGCATTTTGCTTTTTTTTTTTTTTTTTTTTTTTTTAAGTTTTGAATGTAACCATCTAGTTCTAGTCTACAAATAAGCCATTCCCCAGGAAGAATTTATGGGAACCGATAGTCTTTCAGGTGTTAATTGACCCATCTTTCTACTGATTCTTGATTGAAGTTGTTGGTGGTTTCAAGGTGAGTTTATTTATCTATCTAGCTCTGTTGCATATGATTTTTTTTTTTACATATAAGAAATTATTCATTTGGTCTCTGTCTGATTTTCTCATGAACTTCTTGAGCATGATTGTAAACTTGCATATCAGACAGACTGTCAAATTAATTCTGTTTGAAGACTATCCCTCTTTGTTCTTTCTCTAAAAAGGTGCTTCTTTGACTTTTGCTTGGTATATTTTGGAATCAGTGGTTCTGTAATCTGGCTTCAGTAGCAATTTTTTAAGTAGAGAAATGATAGGATGGATTGTTCTTGTTTGAATTTTGATTAGGTTGTTGGATTTCCTAAGCTTTAGGCATTCTGAGTTTAAAATATAGATTATTTTTCTTATGTCAATACTCTCAATTTCACAAGGGTAGGGAGAAAAGCTCTTCTCAGGATTGTGTTTTGAGGGAAAATCTGTTCTGTGAAATGGAGACAGATAAGAGCTATGGAGCTCATGTTGTGCTGGTACCTTATCATGGCCAAGGCCATATTAATCCAATGGTGCAATTTGCTAAAAGGTTGGCCTCAAAAGGAATCAAAATCACCATAGCTACCATATCATCAAAAGCTCAAATCTTGTCACAAGCTTCTGGTTCATTCACAGTTGCGACAATATATGATGATGATACTGAAGGCGGTGTTGCAGGACCAGGGGGATTCAGAGGTTTTCTTGACAGATTTGAGGCAATCGGCTCGAAAAATTTGATTGAACTAATAGAGAAGCACAATGTTTCTGAGCATCCTGTTAGATGTTTAGTGCATGATGCTGACATGATGTGGGCTTCAACAGTTGCAGCTAAGCTAAAGATTCCAAGGGCTGCATTTTTTACACAGTCATGTGCTGCCATTGGAACCTACTACCCAATGCACTGTGATATAGCAGGAAAAGAAGTTCCTCTTCCAGCTTTTACAGTATCAGGATTGCCTAAACTCAGGACTCCTCATTTGCCGTCGCTTGGTTCTGATACCGGGCGATATTCACCATTGATGATGCACATATTGAGGCAATTTGATAGCATTGACTCCGCAGATTGGGTCCTCTTTAACTCATTCGATAAGCTGGAAGAAGAGGTAACACAAAATTGATAGCCTTTCAATTCACCAAGTTGAATGAGTTAGGGAGATAGTTTTATTGTGCTTTGGCTTGTTCAATTAGCTAACTTCACCGTCTTGTGTGCTTAACTTGGATGCATTCTTACTTTTTGCTTGGTCAATCAGTGAGTTTTATTCATCAATTCAACAAGTTTAATACACTATATTAGCTAGCTTCTGTGTTTTTGCCTACATAATATCTATAGGACTCACGCTGATATTTTCAGAAACTAAGCTCTGTTTAATCTTGCAATAACTATCTTTCTAGTTTATTCCAAGTCTAAACGTTCAAAACTTGATAAACCTTAATGTAATGATGTTGTGTAGGTCATTAGATGGTTGTCCAGAGTGTGGCGTGTGAGAACTATTGGACCGACAGTTCCATCTGCTTATCTAGACAAACGAGTTGAAACAGATGTTGATTATGTTTTCAACATTCATAATCCAAAAACCGACACCTGTTTGAACTGGCTAAACAAACAAAAGATGGGTTCGGTTGTTTACATTTCATATGGAAGTGTTACAACATTGAGTGTAGAACAAATTGCTGAGATAGCTGAAACCCTTAGGCGCAACAGCTATAACTTCCTGTGGGTAGTGAAACCAAGTGAAGAAAGCAAGCTCCCAAGTAATTGTAGGGAGGAAAATTCAGATAAAGGCTTAGTGGTGACCTGGTGCCCCCAGCTAGAAGTTCTGGCTCATGATTCTGTGGGTTGTTTCGTGTCACATTGTGGTTGGAATTCGACGATGGAAGCCATAAGTTTTGGTGTGCCTGTGGTGGCAATTCCGCAATTTCTTGACCAAATAATTAATGCACATTTAGTTGAACATGTTTGGAGAGTTGGGGTAGTCTGTAAGGCAGATGAATCAAATGGTTTTATTTGCGGCGAAGAACTTGAAAGATCGATCAAAGAAGTAATGAATGGGAGTAAAGGAGAAGAGATCAGAAAGAATGCAAGATATTGGAAGGAATTGGCTAAGGAAGCAGTAAGTGAAAATGGAAGCTCAGATAAATGTATTGACGAAATGGTTGTGGAGCTTGTTAAACCTTTATGTTGAACTATTTTTCCTGGAATTTGTACTGCTAAACTCACAAACTAATCATATACTAATAATTTCTCTATTTTCACCCATTTGTTTTCTTACCAGAATTGCATTGATCCTCCCTAAACACTTGATATGGAGATGTAGACATCTTTTGTCCCTTGTCCAAATGGAATCCAGAGAGAAATACCGAACCTGATCATTTTTCCCACTTTGGAACTGTATGTTTTTGAAACTGAAACTGCAAGGTCATTAACAGATCCTGCAATATTGTGAATGTCCCCAATACTGTATCCATAATGCTATGACCCATCAGCGTTTTAGCCTACCTCCTCCTCCCACTCCCCATGATCAAGATTTTTTCAACAGCAAAGGAATTGCGGGTTTTACCATTCAAGTCGATGAAGAAACTGGAATTTTGGCTAGTGTTATAGAGTCATTTCAGTTATTGATGCCAAAGTCAGCAATTCCCTCATCCTGCCAATGTTCTCCTCTGAAACAGAAAAGTGGAGATGCTTTAGAGTGAAAATCTGAAAATCCAGTTAAGTTTTAAGTTCCGTAACAGACCCGTTGTTCTAGATAACACTCTTTACTGGACTGATCCTTTCCGGGGCAGAATTCCCAGTTATGATCCTTACAACAACCCAAATAAGTTTTGTATTATTGACCTTTCCAACTCATGACGACACGGATGGATCTATAGATAAGTAATCATCTCAAGTATGTTGAAAGCATTGTGGACAAAACTGGGATTTGGACAAGTTTTAGAATATGGGTGCTTGAGGAAAACCATGGTTGGCGTCTTCCAACGAAAGGTTACCATTGACGATTTTGTTGTTCCTGATTTTCTTCACCAGGATTTTAAGATGCTTGTCAGATTCGTTTCGTTCCATCCATCCATTGGATGAATGGATCGTGTATTTGGATTTGGGGAAAGATAAGGAATTAGTATCGTGTAATGTTCAAACTAAGAAACTGGAACCAGTTGATCCATGGGGTTCGAGGCTTAACGTACGATTACCTGAAGACTGGTTGCTTGTTAAGTTTCCTCTTTGGCCCATCTTCATTCCGCCTTCTTTTATGTGGAAGAGTGCGTCTTTTATATGTGAGAGTGCTTATGATCAATGATACCATATTTGCCAAAGTTTTTATAAATGTATTCATTAATTTATTTTAGTATTGGAATTAAATGGTTGGATAATGGTTCGTACATGGTAATTTAATAACAATGAATCATAACCGTCCATAATTATAACTTTCCTTTAAAGATTTATCTATTCAAGGGTTAAGTGGTAGTTAACATTTTCAGTCACCTCCTTCCCTGTCAATTTCTTTATCAATTTTTCCATCTACGTATCACAATTCTAAACTGTTTTTGTAGATGCAAGTTTAAAGGGTTGTAATTTTTGTTTTTTTTTTAATCTTATAAAGAAAATTCTTATTAAGGGCGTAGTAAATTTACTATTTCTTGAGAAGGGTGTGAAATTTTCAAAATTCTTATTAAGAGCATAACTATCACTTAATATGATAAATTTATTTTTCATGACAACTTTACCCTCGTCTTAATTCCTTCTTTTGAGAGGTTTTTATTAGGAAATAATACACACTTTATTCTCTTCAAATTGGGAATTGGCCAGGTAGAGCCTGAGCAAGACTTGTGCGAATGCCTTAATTGATTACTTTGAGATGTCATGCGAATGCGACTTAGATTAGTTTTAGTACATATGCAAATGCTACTTCATGTGTTTGATCCCTTCATGCCCATAGTTTCACGAAATAGATAATTAACATTATTGTTTGATTGATTATAATGAAGGATTTCACGAGAAAAAATTGGAAAAAACCCTAAAAATTTATCTTCCAGAAAATAATCAAAACACAATTCTTTATCTTGCGTTGATCAATTTAAGAGTGTGTAATAGAGATGGAGATCATCAAATTCTTTGAGCTTCCAATAAGCCTTTATTTTGTTCACTTGTACGAAATGTGAGTGTGAAGTGAGATTGCCTTCTAAAGCAAGAAGAAGTTTTATTGCTCAAAAGAAAAAAAAAAAAGGAAAAAAGATCCCGCCGAAATCTAGAAAATAACGAAATAAATTTTTAAGAATTACAATCAAAGGGTAAATACTGATCCGACCAGAATACCCCTCATTGTATTTGTTAGCCAATACTGATCCGACCGCTTGCATCACAAACGTTGAAGTAAAGTTCTTCGAATGTATCAGCTGCAACCCTTACTTCTACAAGCAACGATACCACAATTCTAAATCGGACTCCACAAACTGACCATGCGGCATAGAGAATAAACCTTTGAGGGGTTTTGAAAGAGGAGAAAGATGAGCAGATTATGTGAAGTGCCATTGGCACAATATGCATAACTTTTGAATATTCCAAGCTTCAATCATAAAGAGTAAAAATAAAATGAACTAAAAGCGTGATGTCAAGAAATATTATATTGTCGCGGAATTAGTACAAAGAATCATATAAATTTCTTGCTAATTTAAAGATTTCTGAGTTGCTGAATACATGTATACGATTTTGACAAAACTTGTAAATGGAGTTATGGAAGAGGACAAAATATTCTTAGATATGTATATATCTTTTAAATTGTTTCTTTTGTGAACTATTCCCTCCGGTCCTTAATATAATGTATTTTGATTTGTTTTAGGTTTTACCTAGTACGCATTTTTTTTAATTAAAAAACCTTGAAAATATTTCATTACAATCAAAAGAACAGAACGAATGTGAAAATATATTTTTAAGATTTTTTTAACAATTAAAAATATGTGTCAGGTGAAGTTTAGAAAAAAGTCAAAATAACTTATAATAAGGACGAGAGGGAGTAGTAAATTTTCGTGGGGCAAGGGCGTTTTCAAAGATCTTGTGATGGAAATAAGTCCAATCATTTTGGATTACATTCAAAGATCTGTTGTTCCGTACGATCCCATTTTTGCCTTTTAGCACACCAAAATCAGAATCTGGTAGATTCATCTACACTTTTCTTCATTGTTTTCTGATTTTTTTTTCCCACTCAATTTCAAAGCACGTTTTACAAAAACGTCAAAAAGCACTGATACTTTATAACGATAAATTCATTGTCACTTTGGCGGCCCGGCCTGTGTATCTCATGTGTGTGACTGTGTGTGAATATTGGGATTTTGCGATGGTGACATAATCGGCGGGATGGGGGACTTGTGAGAAATTAGATAATAACAAATCTTGCTATAATAGCATGTGGGAAATTCACTATATGTTTGGGACCCATAAAATTTATAGGATGAGACATTATAACCGGTGTATATGACACATTCTTTCTTCGATTTCAAAATAAGAAGAGTCATATTTATTGAAGTGAAATAATGTAACGAATATAAATTTTGTATGAAATGAAATGATTAGTGTTTGTTTCATTAAACTGTTTAATTAGACTGGATTCATCAGAGATCATGATCCTAAAGTAGTGATCATATGTATATTTTTTTTTTAATCATCACATAACAGTTTTATATATGTAACATTTTCGTGTATCTGGTTTGTCGACCTTTTGAGAACAATAATACATATCGAACCAACTCTTTTAACTTGTGGATCACGTTACTAACAATATTCTTGGAGTTTTATAAACAAAATTAGAGATTGTCCAGCTGAAGGCCTTCAAATCGTGTTTGCCGGGCGTAGTTGAACGATTTGTAACGTGCTTAATAATTTTTTTTTTCCAATCTTAAAAGGGAAAAAGAGTTAGTCCGATTTGCCGATAATGTTACAAAAGAAATGGTAGAAGAAATGATTGGGAAAAAATCCATAGCAGATTAATGGTTGTTCGGTAATACAGACAAGGTTTTATTTGCATGTTTTTCTGAATTAGAAAGTCTACACTTCCAAGTAGCAGATAAGTCATGAGAAGGAGATAAGGACTTGTCAAGTGCATAACATGTGCCTGCGATTCATTGAATCTTTAATTCACTATGCCAAAAGTGGCTGCAGACAAAATGAGGGAGAAAACCAATCATATGGATAGATGATTGCTCTATCGTCTACACTGAGTGTACTACAGTTTCACTTGGTCAATGCCTCTCTCAAGTATTCAATCCATTTCGTTTTTATTACTCTCTCCGTCCCATAATTATTATCCAGTTTGAGTTTTCATTTCTACTTTAAATTGTACTAAAAGTGAGAATTCAAACTGGACAATAATTTTAGTACAGAGAGAGTATTAAACACTTCTATAGAAGAAACTACGGCCCAGTTTGGAATATAACCTCTCAAGCAAAACCAAAAAGGGTGGATGAACGAATGCGTAATTGATGTGCAAACTGTGGAAATTCTGAAATTACACCGGTGTTTAAAAAAAAAAAAAAAAGGTTTCAGTTGGAAAAACCAAGTGCAAATCTTGAGAAGAGACGTTGGCACGGCTATTCCAAACAGCATACATTTAATTTTTTTTTTTTTGAAAAATAATTCACATTGCTAAACCAAACCGTATAACAAAGTAAGTTACGATTATTATTCCTTTTAAAACAAAACCGGCACATTATGTAGATATTTATGCTTCACTAAACCTAATGCAAGTCTATCCCAGTTCTTTTATATTACTCCTTTCATTTCAAAATATAAATTACTTTAGATTCTGCACGTAAACTAAAGAGATAATCATTTAACAACTAATTTGTGTGTTAAATATCTATTTTACCCATAATTAATTGTTTTGGAACTATAACCAAGACTAGATATGAAAAAACGGTTAGTATCATTTATTGGGGGTAAAATTAAAAAATTGATCTTTAATTTGTCTCGAAATCCTAAAACGACCTATATTTTGAAATATTTTTTTAAACATAAAACGGCCTACATTTTAAAATTAAGGGAGTATGTGTTTGCGGTAAAGTCATTTTTCAAAAAAATAATAATAATAACAACAACAATAATAATAATAATAATAATAATAATAATAATAATAATAATAATAATAATTTGAGCATTGAAGTTTGTAATAGAACACAATCTGGGTACCAATGCAACAACACATGGATCTAAGAGCCTCAATATATACTCAAGCAAGACTTTTCATGTTACAAACCGAGAGGTTAAGGAAAACCCAGGATGACCCAAAAAAGAATGGGGAAACTAATTGGAGGATAAACTGTTTGATTAATCATTACATTTTACTGTTTCATTTACGGTGTATCCAAAAAAAAAAAAAAACTGTTTCATTTACGAGAAAATTTGGTCCTCAAAATCCTTAAAATTTGTTGAACACCACGACATCATTTTTTTAAAAAAAGAAAAATTATTCTAAAAGAAAAAGAGAGAGAGAATCATAGGAGGAAGTAAACTGAAAATGGACTTGATCAAAAGAAGAGTTTTGCACGACTTAAACTAGGAAATGTCCTTAATAACCATTGTATATATGCATGTTTGACTAAACTAAAGCAATTAGAGATGATAATCAAACGTAAATATTGTCTTAATTAATAATAAGGGTGAACCTCAAAACAAGTCATCAACCTTTAATATATTCCTACTCTAGGTCATCAATTAAATTTATTTGTAACACAGGTTACATTAATAAAGTTTTAATCCATTTCAGATTATTCTGTTAATTTTGACCGTTAAATAGTGACGGAAATCTATTTTTCACATGTTTTTGGGTTCAGGGGTATTTTTGTCATTTTCTCATTTTTTAATTTTTTAATCTTTTAAATTTTTTTTTTTTACAATTCTTCTTCTTATACTTCCTAACTTGTATATACTGGTGGTATAATTCTAAATTTTAAAAATTTATTTTCCTTTTGTATTTTAACTTTTAGATTATAAAATTTTTTTAAAAAATTTAAGAAATGAAGAAGAAAAATTCGAGTTAAAGTAAACATAAAAATTAATAATTTACCATTTTAAACAAAACGAAAAATTAAAATAATTAGCTAAGACAAGTTGTTTCTTCTAGGTTATTTAATTTTTTTCAACTCGATTGAATTATTTAATTATTAGTTTTCACGTTTCTTATTCATTTTTTTTTAATAATCTACAAGTTAATATACAAATGACAAAGTAATTTTCAAAAATGAATTTGTTTGTCATTTGTATCTTAACTTCTAGATTAAAAAAAAAGGAATAAGAAATGTGAAAATTAATAATTAAATAATTCAATCGAGTTGAAAAAAATTAAATAACCTAGAAGAAAAAACTTGTGTTAGCTAATTCTTTTAGTTTTT